AAGGGCACTGAAGATCATGATCGCACTGTCAGAGCACTATCAATGGCAGAAGAACGGAACAGCAAGACAAAAAGTTACTCAGGAAATGGAGCAATTGGTGCAAGAATTCGAAGAGACCCACAACAGAGTACAGGAGTATCTGGATGAACGAAGAGATTCAGAATCAAGTAAGACAGCGGGATCTTACAACCCACGAGAGGATCGAAAGGTAAGCCTGGGAGCACCTAGATTTAATCAAGAGACTTATTTGCCATTTCAGGAAGCGAAATTTGATTCTTCTCAATTTCACAACAATTCTGAGCGACAAGAGCTTCAGCACAAGTCAACCAATGTCGGTGTTGGCGCGAAAAGAAGTCAGTTTCCAATGACCCCGGAGGAACATTCACAGCAACTGCAACAGTCAGTCAGATTTGGTGGTGATCACAGACGATCTGAGCGATATTCACACGAAGAGTCACTTGGTCAGGACATGTGGCGACAGCTGCAGCGTGTTGCGATTCCCGTTTTCTCTGGTGACAAGCGAAAGTATGAGAACTGGAAAGCTGCATTTCTGGCTTGCATTGACAGAGCTCCTGCGACTCCTGAATACAAGCTGCTGCAGTTGAGGCAATATCTATCTGGCGTTGCACTGGAAGCGATCGAGAATCTTGGCTTTTCTGGAGCTGCATATGAAGCTGCAAAGGACAGGTTAGAGCGAAAATTTGGTGGCAAGAGGAGGGAAATCGCAATTCACTTGGAGGACATGGATAATTTCAAACCAGTGAGAGATGGATGTTCAAAAGACATAGAGAAGTTTGCAGATCTACTTGATGTTCTGGTGGTGAATCTACTGGAGAGTGGACGTCACGATGAATTGGGAAATGGATCTCTCTACATCAAGCTACTGAAGAAACTTCCAGAAACACTGCTGACGCAGTACAATCGATGGATCTTTGAGAATCGAAGAAGAGAATGCGTTGAAACACTGAAGATGTGGGTGATTCAAGAGTCTGAATTCTACACAGTTGCAAGAGAGACAGTGCATGGTGTATCAAGCGAAAGAAGAAACAGTAGATCAAGAAACTTAGCAGGAGAGAAGAAAACCACATTCTTTGGTGCTACTGAAGAATTAACACAAGTGAATCGTTTTCAAGTTGGTAGATCAGGTGTCACTGGTGGGAAATACGGTAAGCAGCGACTGTGCAAAGTGTGCAATGGTAGACATGGTGTATGGGCATGTGATGCTTTTCGAAACATGGACATTCGACAGCGATGGAATGTGGCAAAGCATTTCAAATTGTGTTTTCGGTGCCTTGGTGATGACCACAGTGGTAGTAAATGTACTCGAAGTAGAGTGTGTGGTATTCGTGGATGTCAGGAAACACACAACAAGTTGCTGCATAGCATGGGTAACAGGATCACTGGAAAGCAAAACAGCAATGAAACAAGGACACCAGAAGCCTTCAATCAGCAATCAGTCAGCAGTAGCAGTCAGCAACAGTTGTCATCGTCAGTCACGGAGGGGGAGCGTTTGCAGAGGAATTTTGCAACACAAACAACGATGGTGTGCTCAAAATCAGATGTCAAAGGAGCAACAGCATTGAGAACCATTCCGGTTGTTTTGAAAAATGGCTGTCGAAGATTGAAATTGAACGCACTTCTTGATGATGCCAGCACTCAAACGTATGTGAATGAAGATGTTGCAGCAGAACTGGGTCTCAATGGTACCTTTGAAACAATAAAGGTCAATGTTTTGAAGATTGCAAGTCTTTTCAAACCATGCCTGTCGAGTTTGGACTTGAAAGTGTAAGTGGTGATGTTGACATCAGAGTAAAAGCACTTACTGCAAAGAGAGTAACTGGAAACATGAAGGTCATCCAATGGTCACATCTAGCAGACAAATGGCCTCATTTGAAGCACATTGATTTTCCAGACACCGGTTTGAGACCTATCGTGGATTTGCTGATTGGTATTGACTACCTTGACATGCACTATTCTTACGAAGAAGTCAGGGGACAAGAAGGAGAGCCCATTGCCAGACGAACGCCATTGGGGTGGACATGCGTAGGATGTCCAGAAGGCAAGAAGATCCCTGATACCCATTTCAGCAAGACGACTTTGTTTACTACAAGCAGATCTGATGTCGATGAAATCAACTCAACAATGAAGAAGTTTTGGGATATCGACTCAGCTGGAACGTTCACCCAGACAACAGTGGTGAGTCCTGATGAGAAGGCTGCATTGGAAAAAGCTGAGAATTCTTTCAGGTTCATTGATGGTCGATATGAAGTTGGAGTACCATGGAAAGAAGATAGTTATAGAATGGTGAACAATCACAAAATGGCAATGAAAAGACTTCAGAACACCGAGAAACGTTTGCTCAAGAACCCAGATGTGATGAAGGCATACGATGAAGTCATTGATCAATATTTGGACAAAGGATACATACGAAAGGTTCCAGTCTCTGAGAAGCAACCTGACAGCAAGTGGTATCTTCCTCATTTTGCTATATTGAAACCCAACAAAGCGACCACCAAGATCAGAATCGTCTTTGATGCTTCAGCAAAGTATGAAGGGACATCCTTGAATGACATGATACATTCAGGCCCGAAGCTGCAACGAGAATTGTTTGATGTTTTGCTACGCTTTAGATGTCATCCCGTCGCTGTTGTCTGTGACATTGCTGAGATGTATTTGAGGATTCAGATTCCAGAAGCTGACCGTGTGTATCATCGATTTCTTTGGAGAAGATGTGACCAGGACAGAGATCCAGAGGAGTATGAATTCAGCCGAGTGGTGTTTGGTATAACAAGTTCACCGTTTCAAGCACAGTTTGTGATTCAAAAGCATGCTCAGTTGTACAGATCAGAATATCCGATGGCTTCAGAAACTGCACTCAAGTCAACCTACATGGATGACAGCATTGATTCAGTACAAGATGACGAAAAGGGAATCCAACTGTATCATCAGCTTGCAGCTCTATGGAACAAGGCAGGCATGCATGCAAGAAAGTGGCTCTCTAATTCTCCAGAAGTTCTCTCTGTAATCCCAGTAGAAGACAGAGCATCTGAAATTGATTTGGACAATGGAGAGCTTCCAACTGTAAAGACCCTTGGAATACTTTGGCGAGCAAAGGAGGATATTTTCAGTTTTCACTCAAGCCCACCTGAAGAAAATCAAATCATCACAAAGAGATCGTTTCTGAGAACCATTGCATCATTGTTTGACCCTCTTGGTTTCTTGGCACCATTCATCGTTAGAGCAAAAGTGGTAATGCAGGAAATCTGGCGACAAGGCTTCGATTGGGATGATGAGCTCGATGGCGAAGTCAAGTCAAAGATTCAGAGTTGGTACAGTGAACTTCACGAGTTGTCAAATCTTTCAGTGCCAAGATGTCTTCACACTGGCAAGCATAAAGATGTTCAATCAATGCAATTACACGTTTTCAGTGATGCATCAGAAGAAGCTTATGGAGCTGTTATTTATGCAAGGTATGTCTACGTTGATCATGCAGCTACTACTAATATTGTCGCAGCAAAGTCACGTGTTGCACCACTGGCAGCTATGAGCATTCCAAGGATGGAACTAATGGGAGCAGTCACAGGACTTCGATTGGCGGTATCGGTAGCGAATGCAATGCAAGTGTCAGTGAAGCAAGTCAAATTCTGGTGCGACAGCATGAACACACTTTGGTGGATCAGAGGACATAGCAGATGTTTCAAGCCATTTGTTGCAAATCGTGTTGGTGAGATTCAAAACATGACAAACCCTGAGCAATGGAGATATGTTCCCACGAAGGATAATCCTGCTGATCACTTGACAAGAGAGATGGTAGCATCTGCGTTGGCAAACAGTGAGCAATGGTGGAAAGGACCAGAATTCTTGGAAATGGCTGAGGATGAATGGCCTAATAATCAATTTGAGATGTCAATGGAAGCAGTATCGGAGCAGAAGAAGTCTGGTCGTTCAAAGATGAAGTCCGTAACAGAAAATCATGAAGAGAAACAATCATTGTTTGCTGATGCAGTTAGCAAAAAGAAATCTACGACTGGTGAACAAGTGGAACCAAGTAAACTGATGAAAGCGGGTAAGGAGAATTCTTGGTATTTGGATCCTTCTCATTTTTCAAGCTGGCTTCGACTTACAAGACTTGTAGCATGGGTTTGCCGTTTCTTGGACAACTGTCGAACAGCAAAAAAAGAAAGAATTAATGGAGAATTGACATATGAAGAGATCAAAGATGCAGAAATTCATATCATTCGAGACGTGCAGCAAAATGCATTTGCAACCGAATACCAGCAACTGTTGAAAGGAAAGCAAATGAAGAGTGACAGCAAATTGATTGTGTTACAGCCACGAATCGATGAAGATGGACTTCTACGGTGTAATGGAAGATTGAGGTATGCTGACTTCCTGCCATACGATGCAAAATATCCTATTATTCTACCAAGGAAGAACTGGGTTACAAAGCTGATCGTGAAATTCTATCATGAAAAGGATCATCATGCAGGTGGCACAAATCAGACATTGGCAGCTATTTCGAGTCGTTTTTGGATAATTTCAGCAAGAGAAGAGATAAGAGAATGGGAAAACGAATGCAACTGGTGCAAAAGACGAAAGGCGAGGGCATGCAGTCAGATCATGGCACCCCTACCAAGCATTAGATTGGCAATGTCATTGCGAGCCTTTGAAAGAGTAGCTGTAGATTATGGAGGACCATTCATCACCATGAAAGGGAGAGGTAAGCGAAGAGAAAAACGATATCTTTGTCTTTTCACATGCCTAGCTACCAGAGCAGTACACTTGGAAATGGCATTTGCCCTGGATACTGATTCATTCTTGAATGCCTTTTATCGAATGGTGAGTCGTCGTGGGAAGCCTGAAGAAGTTGTTTCTGACAATGGTGGCAATTTCGTAGCAGCTGACAAGGAGCTACAGGAGCTCGTTAAAAGATTGGACCAGAATCGAATCATCCAGAGTGCTGCAAATCGTGGTATCAAATGGCATTTCAATCCTCCTTTGTCACCACATTTTGGAGGAGCTCATGAAATTATGATCAAGGCAGCAAAACGTGCGTTGAAAGGAATCCTGACAGATGCAAATGTGTCCGATGAAGAGTTGATGACTGCCATCACAGGAGCAGAATCGTTGCTGAATTCAAGACCGCTGACATACCAGACAGCAAATGTGGATGATGATGTACCTTTGACCCCGAATCACTTTCTCCATGGCCAAATGGGAGGCAGATTTGCACCAGAAACGGTAGACCAGACAACGTTCAGTCCAAGGAAACGATGGCGACGTGTTCAAGAACTGGTGAAGCACTTCTGGCAACGTTGGTTGAAAGAATGGCTACCAGGACTAAATCCAACGACAAAATGGCACAAAGAGAAGAAAAATTTGAAGGTAGGGGATATTGTTATTGTTATATCGCCTGATAGCCCCAGAGCTCATTGGCCCCTTGCAAAAGTCACCCAAGTATTTCCTGGAAAAGATGGAAAAGTGAGAGTGGCACAAGTACAACTGGGAAAAAAGCTATTGCAGAGACCAGTGACAAAATTATGCCTTTTGGAGCATTGTTGAATGGTTGCTGGTGGCATTTGTTAATGGATGTATTTTTCTTGATGTGACGTTGCAGATATCACAAGATGAAGGATTTTCAGTTGACATGCATAGCTGTCAAGGAGGGGGAGAATGTTCAGAAGACAGACATGTGATACTTTCATTCTTGTAATTGTTGATTGGAACAATAACTTTTACGCGTCTGGACACAATAGTTGTTTGAGCAAGTTGTTTTGCGTTAAATTGGACAATGGTTGGTTAGTAGAGAGTGTTAATGTGTTTTTAGAGGACAGTATTTGTTAATCCCTTGCGTAATGGACAATCAAACTAGTGACAATATTTTAAAGTTGTTTACGTCGTTAATAGTATAAATTAGGTTCGTATTCGTAGTTAGTTAGTTAGTTTTTAGCCTTCGGGCTTAAGGATCAAAAGTCGCGGACGGTCTTTCAAACATCTTTTGCAGATGTTCGTTGAAAAATTAAATGGGTCACTAAGCAAATGACAGCAACAAATGTTTACAATCAAAAACAAAAAAAAATTTATTGTACATAAACACTGTCATCTACATTACCTTTTATCTTAATATCTACATTATCGAGAACCCAATACGCGGATGGTGGAAAAGATAACACTTTCAATTTTCAAAGTACTCAAACTCAAAATCTTTATCAGCAAAAACAAATGTTAATTACAATCTACCAAGAATTAAAAGTTAGAATACAAAAGTTAGCAATTTCAAAAATTTAGTTAATCAAGTACATCAGATAAATTGGTTTTGTTATGGTGAAGGACACATGAGAAAAACTCGCGAGGAGCTATCGAGTCATGTGACGCATTTAAACTCAAGGTTATAATTTCCATTTCATTTTGAAGTAGTGTATAACAGTGAGAGTAAAAAATTGAGAATGTAAGAGTATAGAGAAAAAAATATTTATATTTATAAAGGCGGTAGGCTGGTAAATTTCACTAGTTAGAGATATATTATATTTAAAAAATGTATAACGAATTCTTATGGCTTAGGAGTTCTGTAAAAGGTATAGTTTCATCATTTTTTTAAAGGAATTTTTGTTGCGGATATTCTTTAGCAAGGAGTTCCAATGCTTAACCCCACCAAATGTCAGAAAGTTTTTTTTGAAGTTTGTAGAGATAAAGGGAAGAGAAAAACCAAGATCAGACGATTGTCTCATATTATAGCAATGTAATTTACTAGTTTTGATAACAATGTAAGTAGAGGTCGCCCACAAGAAGATTTGCGACTCATTGTCATAGTAACACATCCAGCAGCGTCAACTGTCCTCCGATTTCTATGATGGAGCTCTTTGGTCATTTGTTTTGCTTTGGTCTACTGACTTGATATCGGACATCGTGCTTTGATTGCTTTAATTGAAGCATTGTGCTGGCCATAAACAAAAGGCATTCAAAATGAAGATTAAGGGAGACAGGTATGTCGATTGTTAATGTACTACGGCTACTAATGATGTGGGACGTGCCCCTTAGCCGGTAGAGCACAGCTGTAATCGTCGCTCACAAGTAGTCGAACTATAGCTTATTTCATACTAGATTTGATTGTTTGCGGTGGAGTCAAAATGGTTTGGGAAGGACGGTTGGAAAACGATTTTGAAGGCAGTCCATCTGCCGTACCTATGGTAAAGGTTCTAACTCCAAAAGAGGAAGACCTCTCAAATGGCGAAAATTGGAGGTAAAATAAAATGAAAGTGGGCTCTATTTGTTTATTCCTTTCTTATAAAAGAGTGAATGGCAAGTTGTTTTTCTTCTTTTACTGGTTTAAAGGAAAGATAAAGGAAAGGGGTTGCCAAAAGGAAGCAGATGTGTCTTCGAATTGCATTGCATAACATTAGGCCTTTGGGGTGTTACCCTAAAAGCTTATGTGCCAAGAGCCGTGGTGACAGCTTGTTTACAAGGCAAATGGCTATTGCTGATATAAAATCAATCAATGAACGATGCGAAAAATCATCATTTCAGTTATGGAAGTTGCTAAGGCTAGCAGAAATTTTCTCCTAACAGAAGTTAACCAGCCAAATAGCAGCTGTGTTGATGCAAGCAAACACCAAGCAACCATGCATTGAGGGCTGTGGAAAATCTATATTTTAATTTCTCTCTTAACCCTTTCCTTTCTTCTTTTTCTCTTAATTTTGTGTTCAACGTCTGATAAGAGGAAACCCTAGTTTCCTAGAGACCCTAGTTTCTTGAATGGTCTAATTAAATCAACAACCTTTTTATGGGAATTTTTATTGGGCTCACTTAGCAATTTTTTTTATTATAAGGCCGAAATGGCACTGGCAAAATTTTGAATTAAATTTTCAAGATAGCTTTGATCTGTTGTTATATTGTTTATCCTTTTCCAGACCAAGAGATGTGACAAATACTATTATTGTTTGCTCCATTTAAAATCTTTAAAAAGTTTCCCCCTTGTCCCAGTTATCCAATACTTTACTATACCATTTTTAATGTTTTAGGCGAAGGACGTTTAGTTTATTTTGGATAAACAGGTCCAAAAAAATTGTTTATTTTGAAATTGTTTATTTTGAATCAAATGAGTATAGCTACTTCAAATCTTTAAAATTAATTATTAGTTTTTTTTGAAAGAAATCATTAGCACCCATTTCATAAAGGCCTTGAAGATGTTTACAGGTTTGAATCATGTCCCCTTGAATTCTGCAAACAACAGGCTTGATAATTAATCTTTTTTCAGTTGCTGTTCATTCAGGGTTCTTGATTCTCATAACATGCTTGGCAAACTCCCCCCCCCCCTTCAATTATTGTCCACACAGTTCAGCTCATTAAAGATAATAAAAATAATGTTGAAAATCAGTGAAAGCAATGTCTTTTACACAACTCTTCATTTTTGCACCTTTTTGAGAAAATCCTTATTCCATCAATGTGAGAGCATGATTATACAGTCAAGAATGAATGTGACTCTTGTCCAACTTCATTTTCAGTTGAATAAAGAGAATGTCTCAGCCCATTATATGAACATAACGGAATCAACGAGTGAAGGGGGCCATAATCCTTTCACAATTTTTTTTTGCTTTGTTGATTGAATCCCAAACTCTTTCAGGGAATTGATTCTATTTCTTACCCCACTAAACAGGTCTATTTCACACAATATCCTATGAGCAATCAAATTAACACCAAAATAATGTCTTGAAGGTTTGATCTCTCAAAATTATGTAGTTGAAGTTTTAGGAGGGGGAGCATGCCCTTGACCCATGTGGGTCTAGACCTAGTAATCTGGCCTTAGCTATTTAATTTTTATAATTCCAGAAAAAAGACATAAAACATTGAAGAACCATCAAGCCTGATATTGTTAGTGAGAAAGTAGAGCATGAATTAAACCCTAATTCCTGCCAAATATTGCCCTTTGTATTTGTAGACCTATTGTTGTTTTATCTAGGGTGTCACAAATCCATGAAAATGCAGAAATTTTGCTTCTCTGTTTCAAAGCAGATATCAGTGAAATGATCAGCAAGAATTTGACATCACTGAGGCCTCAGAGCCAATCCCAATCTTAAAACTTATCAAACAAATGGATGTCCCTTGTCACTCTTTTTTATATGTAATAAGCTGAATCTATCCCAGACTAGAGCAAGCTCACCATAAAACATCAGTTTAAGCAGTGGTAGAAATTGCAGGTGTAGGGGGCAACCGCCCCCAGGTTTTGCTAAATTGTTGGTTTTCTTGGTAAAATTATGTCATTTGTCGGCAAATTTGTTTGCTTTTGTGGGCATTACCCCCCCCCCCCACTTGAAAAATTAATTTCTGCCAGTGAGTTCAGGTCCTATGTGCTACCCCTTACCAAAGTGCCCTTTCATGCACAGATTTTATGCCCCTTTCTTGCTTTGCTCCTACCGTTGTAAGAATGTCGTGATACCTAACTTTGAAATGATTTATTTGGTTAACTTTAGAAAAGATTTAAGAGTCAGTAAGTTCTGTCACAAAAGCCATGAAAATTTAAAATGTATTAGAAACATGGATCTTTGAAATTCTTTGCTATACCAATGGTAATTTCAAAATAGCAGGGTTTTGTTGTTAATGTCAAGCTTTTGCACTGCATATAAAGCTATTGGAAAACTGTAGCACAGTATACTGAAAGCCATTTAATAAATGTTTAATAGTTGTATGCTCAAACAATCAAGTATTTGAAATGACATGCGTAGAATGTGTAAAGCTTGTGCTATCATTATGCTTGTTCATCCTCCTACCAGAAAGGTCAAACCTTCAGAGAAAGAAGATTCATCTTCGAAATTTGATAACAAAGAAAAAGAAAAGAAGGAAAAAGATGAGAAGCAGCCACAAGTGTCTCTCATAAAACTGGTTGGTATCTTTTTGATAATATCCCTTCTCTTTTAATGCTGCTATGCATGCTTAAGTTGCTGCAATTACAATGGTCAATTTACACACTTGAATCCAATTTTTCTTCCATTTTGTTTGAGGTTTAGGAAAATGATTACAAAAAGTCTTTTTGCAGCACTTTTAATGGCTCAATTTCTGGAACATTTGCCAACATTAGGTCTCAAATCTGCCACCAGTTCTCAGTCAATAGCTCCCACTAAGTACAAGAATGTAGCAGAACTTATTTGTTATTATTCTTATCCTGTAGCAGTCTCATATTAAATTGTATTTTTCAGTCCCCTACCATCCCACTCTACTGAGCACTTGCATCATTTTCATCTTTCTCCTTTCTGTTTCTTTCAATTGGTTTCGTTTGGTTTCTGTTAGCCCCAGGGGTTGTGGGTACCCTTCATTTAGGTCAGATATGAGAGGCCAATCAGAGTTGAAGAGGGTTGAAGCTAAAATTCTAAAGATTCTTCTCAAATTTTGCTGTATTTTTCATAGTAACCCACAAATGGTAGCATAATAACCAAATGTAGCAAACAGTGGCGGACACTTGGGGGGGCGAGGGGGGGCGACCGCCCCCCCAATACTTTAGAGAACAATGGACTTTTGTTCTAAAACAATGGGAAATGTGACGTCATCTTATTAAAACAATAGGCTTGCCCCCCCAATATTTGACCAAGTGTCCGCCACTGGTAGCAAATATGAAACACAGCAATAGGCCAAGAATAAACAACAATAAATACACATAAATCAGTAAATTCTTCATTCACACATAATAACCAAAGCTTTGTCATTTACAGGAATGATCTTTTTGACCATTCCCTTTTTGATACCAGAAAACATCCTTTTCTGAAAATATATATCATTGACCTAGGTCATTTGCTTGCATTTGACATCATTACATATCTGCCCTTTTCTCAGACATTAATTTCCTTATCTTTTTTTGAGGGGTGGGGATGGGATGACTACCCAGTGTTGTTGGAACGAAATTCATATTGGGGAGGCTATCCATTGTATTCCTTCTCATTCAGTACACTGTTGTTAAGGGAACATACTACAGTTTGACAATAATTGGGGGCTCCAGCCCCCCAATCCCTCGGTTCTGACAGGCCTGCTATCTCATTTCCCTTTGCTTTTATAGAGACTTTCAATGAACTCCTCCAGTAGTCCTTTTGGTTTTCTTTCATTTGGTGCTTTTTGTTTGTTTAGTACCTGTTTTGTACATTTTGAAGTTCACTCCATAGAGTCTCTGTGCTTATCTTTTCTACCATGCTTAATGCTCTTACATAACATATGCTCTTAGTAGTTGTCTTAGACACAAGCATATCCTAATAGAGAATGTGTTATGCAGTACTGTAGCTGTTTTTTCCTGGCTTCATTCATATTCATAGTTATCAATATTTTCTGATACTTCTGCTTTAATTGTATTACAGTTTCGACATGCGGATATAACTGATATTTTTCTAATGGTTATTGGGACAATATTCGCAATAGGCAATGGGATTGCACAGCCTTTGACAATCATCATGTTTGGTGATCTCATTGGTGACTTTGTAAAGTATGGCGAGCAACAGTATGATGTTTCATTGGGACTGGCCAACGCTACCTCGATTAATTTCGACATAGAAGGACAGATGGTGAAGTTTGCCGAGTACTATAGTTTGATCGGATTTGGTTGTCTATTAGCTGCTTATGTTCACACAGCATTTTGGTCACTTTCTGGCGTAAGGCAAGCCAATAAAATCAGAAAATTGTGTTTCAAAGAGATTCTGAAAAAGGATATTGGATGGTTTGATCAAATTGATGCTGGAGAACTCAGCACAAGAATTACAGAGTAAGTGAAGAACATTTTGTTTGTTTTTTTGTGCACAATGAATTTTGAAACTACAATCCCAGCGAAAAGTCCTTGTAACGGCAGGCAGTCGATTAAATATTTGGGAAGATTGCAATTTTACGGTCGTAAAACACAGAAAATCTCCCTCCCCTTAAAAGCAAGGTCGATTGAAAAGCCTCTTACTTATGCTTTCTGATGAAACTACATCAAATGAACTTTAGGCCCTGAAACCGATGCTATTAAACATTGGTTTATAGGAGCGCAAGGGGTGTCACGGAAAATATACGGAATTTTAGCGAATTGAACCAAGACTTCTGGCAGCTAATGTCTGAACCCTTTTCTCAAGTCGTTAGCTGCATGAAATTCTGCGCAATGGGGGCAGGAGTTTTTAGTAGCTATGATTTAATAGATTTTGAATTCTAAGTTATTTTAAGTAGAAATTTCATAACTTAGCTTTATCTCTATTAAGGAATTGCTGAAATGTCAATGACGGGTATCCACCTGTTGTTGACTATATTGGCGTAGCCACGGGGTGGGCTGGGGTGGACATGTACAGTTTCCCAGAATTCGATTTTCTAATTTCTCTAAATCCGTTAAATCCGTTGGCGGTGTGCTGATCAGATCGATTTCGATTTTCGCACTTGCAAAAAAGCCACCGTTACCAAAAAAGCTGCTTGAAAAAGTTGCTTGCCAAAAGATTTCGAAATAGATAGAAAAATGCTAAAAAAGGCTATTCAAAGAGTCTGAAGGGCGTGGTCGAGAAAATTTCCATCCCCAGTTTTTTCGAGCTGACGACGCCACTGGTTGACTTTAGTACCAAAGCAGTCGTTCACTTGCAGCTAAAGAGGCATAGCAAAGATGGTGTTTCACTGCAAAATTTGCGACAAAAAGAGCTTTGGGCGGCTGTCTGTGAAATGGAAAATTATTATTGTGTCGGAAATTGGCTGAACTTTATATAAGATTTCTGTGTCAAGAATGGTGCGTATTTGTAAAGAAGAATCTGTTACCAAAAGCGCTCAAAATAGGACAGGTAGACCACCATTATTGAGCAGAAGAGACAAGGTTATGTTCTTTGTAGCCTTCAAGAAGATGCGAGATAGAAATTGAAACACTAGGGGAAAAGTTTTGCCAAAGGAATGCGAGATCATTCATATCAGCTACAGGACTTTGATACGAGTGCTAAACGATGCAGGATACAAGTTTCTCGAAAGTTATCATCGGCAGATGATAGGAGGGAGTGAGTATCTTATGCAATGAATGCCATCAAGAAATATAAACTAAATTTTTGGTGCATCTGGTAGGAGTTTTATTCTAACACAGACAGGACCGATATAACGGTGCTGTGTGGCCGAGGGAACGAGTGTGGAGAAAAAGCAGAGGGACTTATTTATGCAAGCAAGGGGTCGAAAACGTATCTGGGGGGCTAATACTACATTCACTAAAGAGGGATGTCTATAAAAGTATGCCAAATTTTAGTGAAGTGTACCCAGACTATGGGCAGGCATAGTAGACAAGGCTGCATAGCTAGATTGGATAGAGGTCTTGCTTCTTTCCACTGCAGTATTTTTGGAAATTTTAGCTTATCGTTACCCGGCACTGTAGCATTTCAGACGTTTGAAGTTAAGGTTAAAGTAAGTCCCTTGCACCTTTACCCGTTTCTCAAATGCAATTTCTATTATGGGGAGGCATATATCTCCTGCAATCATAGAGAGTGTTCCAATATCCATTTATTTGCAAGCTAAAAATTCAGCTTCCTACATGAATAATGAAACATGCTGTTGTTTCATGGTATGGCTAAACGAGGTAGCCATCATTTTCTGAAGGGTTAATTAATATCAAGATTTAGGATAGCATGCCCTGCATGGCAAAGCTATTTCTTAACCTTTCTTTTGAATGATCTTCTTTAAACGTCAAAATCTGCAACAGTAATATCTTCTTTAGTTTGGTAGGACTTTTTATGTTTCACCTGTAGTACTGCAAAAGGAGATTACGAAACTCAAATTGTACGTATTGAGATTTCTCAACGGATTCTTCTAGATCTGTCTGTTCTTGTTTACATTTGGAGTAGAGAGAGATTGGAGTTCAATTTATTTTGCAGATCACAACAAACTAGCATTAACTCTTTTTAAATCAGTATTCTCTTTCAATGCAGAGATGTTACCAAGGTGCAAAATGGGATTGGTGACAAATTTGGAATGCTGATTCACTCCGTTGCGATGTTCGTTGCAGCTTTTATCATTGGCTTTGTTTACAGCTGGAGGCTAACGCTGGTTCTTCTTGCCTTGACACCACTCGTTATCATAACGACTGCCATCACTGGATTTGTAAGAGAAACAAGTCTCGCTATTACTTTTCTGCAGCTTATTAAACTAAACTTTCTTAGTTTCTTGTAAAATTTAGATGTTTATTATTGTTGTTCAATATTCTTGTATGGCTATTTCATAATGATTTTTAAGGATTTTCGCGCTGAAGCTAAAAGAAAAATTAATTAGATCGCTAGGTAACATTTGGTCATTTCGTCGCTGGGTTGGAAAGAATAATGCTGTTTCGAATACTTGTAAGCTCAGTTCCTGCAAGTATGCTCGGTTTATCCGCCAACCTCTTGCTTTCTTCCTTGTATTTGAACTCTACAAAGTTTTATCGCATGGCTGTACTTGCAGTGACCAGTCGTAATTCGTCGAAAAAACCATCAGCATTGTGGTTGCTGATTTAACTATGGTAGATGCAGATATATTTTCTTAGATTTTTCATTAGCTTCTTTTGAATGAAAATAGCAGCCCCAATACTCTGACGTGATTCGCAATATATGAATAAAGTTGATAATTTCACGCTTTTTGTAATCGTATTTTTGGGTCTTTTAGGTAATAAGCAAGTTGACGAGCCAAGAGCAAGCTGCATATGCCAAGGCTGGGGGTGTTGCAGAGGAAGTGTTCAGTTCGATAAGAACAGTTGTTGCCTTTGGTGGTGAAAAACGAGAGCTTCAAAGGTAATAAAAGAATTGAGTCGGAATGCCCTTTCCATTCAACTTCAGTAGCAAGTATATATGTAGCAAGCATAGATGATAACTATTTATAATCGTCGATTCAAACCATGAGTAAAACAAATAGCTTGGACCTGAAGTAAAACGACCTACCTTCTACTGCAATTCGATATCAACTTTTAACTGGGGCTTTAGATTGGCGGGTATTTCAAAATCGAATTGACAGGGGCAAAAATATATGTATCCCCAACTCTCCAACTGGGTGTTTTTTACTAGCGTAGAGTTTTCGATCTACGCTCTGACCTTTTGTCCTCTTCAGAGTGTCAGACAAAAAGCCTGTTGTTTTAAAATTTTTGCTACTTTTCAAGGTCATTTTAAATTTTGTACCTTGTAAAGATTGTTTGCTTATTGAATGAATTGAATTTAAGACTCCAAAACTTTTGGATAATAATCATTTTAGATTAAAGGATGCTTTTAGTCTTGAGTTTTTAGATAGATTCCGCATGATATTCAAAGACATACTAGGCTTTCCAAACGTCTATTTTTTCGAATCCGCAAGGCAAAATGTTTCGTACTGCGAGGACGGATCTGAACTGCGAAGGAGATACGATAGAGGGTACGAATGTTGCTGAATATTTTGCTTTGAGGATTTAAAAAAAATTGAATTTTGGAAGGTCTAATACCGTCCTTGTTAATTTATTGTAATATTCACTGGTAAGATAACAGTCCCCAAGAAGAAGATACTCAATAAAAGAAATTTGGAATGAATGAATTAGCTGCTTTGATATGTTGGTGTTACTTTCATGTTTTAAGTTAACATTTTTTACATGTTATTACAGATATACAGCCTGTTTGGGAGACTCGCAGAAGGCTGGGATAAGAAAGGGCTTGAATTCTGGTTTGGCTTTCGGCCTATTTCAGCTCGTTACGTTTTGCTCGTATGCTGTTGCATTTTGGTAAGCCCTTTTGAGCCTACTGATTGTCAGAAGAAATATTTTTAGATCTAGGAGGATGTAATTTTTACAATAAATTGGTTGAAAGGCCATCTTGCAATGTTATATTAAATGGTTGTATGTTTGATGTTAAGTTTCCTTAATCTATCAAGGTTTTCCGGAATTCTTTTCAGTATCTGCAAATCTCTCTGAATACATCCGAAGAATATCCGACCTCTTTTCGGTTTAGGTTACAAAGTAATTCGAAGACTCCTTTATTTTATTCATTTCCTGTTCAAACCTTTCGGAACGTTGCAATGCTCGTGCACTCTCCAATAGATAGCATAAATGGCTGAACCTTTTGTAAGCGTACTTTCTTCGTCCATTTTTTCAAACATCAGGTATACGGTCTGCAGAATATGAAAATTTTAATGCTATCCAAAAGTTATTTCTCTTACCAGAAATGTTTGTCCTAAATGAAATGTTTGAATGTACTTCACCCTCCATAAACTTAACGCTCTATGTTTGCATTTATTTGATAGTACAAATTGTTGTTATTTTATCTAATATTGTTCATTTGTAGGTACGGAGCCGAGCTTATCATTGATGGAATAATAAATGAAGCTGATGTCATGATCGTATGTAATTCAATTTCAATCTAAAGCTCCTTTTTCATAGAAATGGGCTAGCTCTTTCTGAATGCACTGCCTTATAACAATTGTTCAAGACAACTTAAAGAGGTCTTTGCTACTAGGAATTTTGAAAATTTACAAAAGGCTCATGCTGCCAAAGTTGTCCTGGTAAACTATAAGAGAATAAGCAAGATTTAAGACGAAACTCTAAACATTTACCATTACGAGTTAACTTTATCAGCTATTTTTTACTACTTGCTTTCAATACGTATTGATTTCAAGAAATTTAAGTTTTCTATCCAGGGCTCAATATTTTGTTTCTGTCTTTTTTTTTAATTCTACGTTAATAAATGTCATTATTAATTCATCAGGTTTTCTTCTGTATCATTGTCGGAGCAACTCAGATTGGTCAAGCTGCACCAAACATACAGGACATAGCAAACGCAAAAGGGGCTGCTTACTATATATACGACCTTATGGACCATGTACGTGATCTGTCAAAAAAATCTTTATTTGTGATAGAAATCTTTATTTGTGATAGAAATTTCTACTAGAAAATGAATTGCCGACAGGACAGCAAATCATTGACAGGGTTTTGATTGTATATGTGAGTAAGAATACTTGTAAAAGCAACGAGTTTGATAACAAATATCATGTAGGCCGCAAAAAGCATTATATACCAAAAAGCTGTAAAATTGTTATCAATGTTGTTTTCAAAAAATTTTTAAAAAAGTTTGTTGTGTCCTTTGATGATTTACCAATGATTACCGAGCACTTGTTTGTTGGCAGAAATGTGTAATCAACTCGATGTCGACTGAAGGAGAAACTCCGCCTGTTAATGGTAACATCGAATTCAAAGACATCCATTTTCGATACCCTTCAAGGAAAGAAATTAAGGTACAATTTCTACATGCAATATAGGGTTTGTGCCTACATAAACTCATCTACCTTTGTATTGTATATACTCTAGATTACACTCATTTTTTATAAGATAATCGCTATAAGAAACAGGTACTGGGCAATCTGCAAAAGTTAATAAACTTCAGTACTCGACACAATCTTGCAAATTCCAAACTTTCGAAAAAGTCCAAAACTCCCTCATCTAAGTGCAGCATTAGAACGGAAAAAAGGCCCTTAAATGAAATGCCCGAGCATTTGAAAGCAATAGAAACATGGACCATTTGCAACGACAAAAATCTATCAAACAAGAAATTAAGAATGGGAAGCCAATATTAAAATAAATGACGTTATATTTAAGAAACTCTTAAGAAACAAAGAGTATTGAAATTTCCACAGCGTTAAGTAACTGGAGGACTCAACTTCGACCTTTATCTCTTATAAAGAAACAAGTGTATCTTCTATTATAGTAATGCTTATAGGAAGTTTCGAAAATGTCTAGGCTACAAATTTTGTTACATAGCATTTTGTTACATTCGAATTGCTTCTAGATTTTGGATGGATTCTCACTGAAGATTGACAGTGGCTCAACAGTGGCGCTAGTTGGTGAGTCAGGGTGTGGCAAAAGTACCATTGTCAAGCTGGTACAGAGGTTTTATGACCCTGAAGAAGGATTGGTAACTTCTTTTACGATATCTGTGTCTTTTATTAAATTTGATTAATCTATTGAGTCATATCCTTTTTTAAATCTCTCTTACAGATATGACGTGGTTACAATTTCCTTTTTTAAATTTGCCAGAATAAACGAGTTCCTGGCACAACCTTTTTCAACTTAATTCCAAAAGGAATTTAGTTCAGTTGATAAACATGCCGATGTAGCCCTCCTCTAATCACTCAGATAGGTTGTTGAAAGCGAATCTCTATATCCACAATATAACGAAGAATCATATGGCAATTGTTACCCCCGACAGACTATTAACATTTGAGATATTTTAAAAGGCTTAATAAAAGTATTTTCAGCATAAGTAAGTACCATTAATTATCTATTTATAATTCGACCTTCAATGTATAACGCGAGACTTATAACAAGTTTTTGCCACAAAGGTCTTTTTCATTTGCTCACCTACCATATGTAGCTGGAAAAAAGTCTATACCATGTTATACAGGGGTGTAGTACTATGGGGGGGGGGGCTTGAGTCCCCCTTGTTGATGCCGAAAAGTGGCAAATTTCAGCATTTGCTATTGTTTTTCGCAACATTTTGTGCGAGAGCCCCCTTGTTTTTTTAAAGCATTGCACCACTGATGTTATGTTAAATGAAGGGAAAAGGAAGCTATTGTATAGAAATTGATTCGTTCTTATTGAACAATTGTTTGGCAATAAAGCTGGAAGTTGAGGAGAAGATGTAAACACATTTTGAAATTCTTTCAGCCGCATTTAAACAGAAATGTTGCGACTGTTGTTGTTTATGATCCTATTGTATCTAACTGACTGAATTAAGAAGTCGACTAGAGATGTACATGAAACCAATTAGTTATATCTGGGTGGTCGACATACATGTGCGATCAACATATAGGTTGGTGTATATGGTGACTACAGATCCAATGAAAAACACACATTTCAATAATCCAGTTAAGCATTTCATAATGATTGTTTACTTTCGATCATTTAGGTATGTTTAGATGGGAACGATTTGCGAAAGATCAACTTGCGATATTTGCGTAGCCAGATCGGCGTAGTCAGCCAAGAGCCAGTGCTGTTCGAGGGAACAATCACGGAAAACATAAGGCTTGGTAAACGTGATGCAACTGATGACGAAATCAAAGAGGCTGCCGTCGACGCCAATGCTCACCGTTTTATTTCAGAACTACCGAAGGTATGCCCATTGCATTACTATATTTCACACGTTTATTTTCTTGACACGCTGCTCAAATGAATCCCCGGAAAAGAGGAACCTAAAAATTTAAGAACATGTTTAAGAGGGGGGGGGGAGGCTTTAAAAGGTTTTTATTTTGAAGTTTATTTCCCCCAAGACCAGTTTTTTAGCAAGATACCATTAGAATGACCCCAAAACTAGCTAGTTTCTTCTAGGAAAAAGTGGTTTCTTCTTTACAAGGGGTTAACTGAATTTCACGTTTAAGCATTCATGTATTTATTTTGTGTTTATTGCGAACTTTATGTTGCATGTTTCATAACTTAACTAAATGTGTGTTATGAATGGGATCGCTTTGTCTCAAAGTCTTACCGTCCTGTAACAGTATGGGCAAGTTTTTTGTTATTAATGAAAAGGAATTATTTAGTTTTACATGATTTTCATTTATGATATAGCAAAGATAGTTTCCATCGTATGAACCTATTTCAAATTGTTCATACTTGCACCAGTGCTTGTCAGTTTGGTCGCTAATCTTCTTACGGAACAACTTTTTCCAATTTTGTTCTTGCTTACTGTTTCAACTTTGCACAAATTTGAAATTAATTCTAATACATTTTAAATGCATTTAAATACATTTCAATAAACTTACTAAAGCTTTTCAGCCAACCGCTGTATCTTGCTTACCCGCACACCTCTCTGCTTCCTTTCCAACTTACATTGTAACCGCCATTCGCCATTTTTTACTTACCTATTTGCATTTTTCTTTATTGATTTAACTTTTTAGTAGCTGACCAATTTGCTACATTCCTCACTTGCGTAGCTCCTTATTTGCTCACCTTTCTATCTACCTAATTGCTTACATATTTACCTCTCTACCATCAGCCTTAAGTCTTTACTTACCCTCTCACTTCATTATACACGTGCTTACATTCTTGCTTATCAGGGCTACGATACACAAGTTGGTGAGGGAGGTGCTCAGTTGAGTGGTGGGCAGAAACAGCGAATCGCCATCGCACGAGCGCTCGTCCGCAAGCCAAAAATTTTGTTGCTAGACGAGGCAACATCTGCATTGGATACAGAGAGCGAGTCGATCGTGCAAGCAGCTCTTGAACAGGTAAAACCATTTTCTGAAAGCTGTGCTTCATTTCAATTTTCGGGGATTGCTTGTTTAGAGATATTTTAACGCCACTTCTTAAAATGGACATTTTTTGTTGGCTACATGTCGTTTGTAAAAGACTTTCTTATTTTTAAAAAAGGAGATGCTAGAGATTCTTATTAATGATTTTTATTAAAATTATATGTATTTTATTGGGATGTATTTGTCTTTGCAGGCCAGCCAAGGTCGTACAACCATTGTCATTGCGCATCGTTTGTCAACTGTACGCAACGCAGATATGATTGTTGCCATGCGAGACGGTGTTGTCATGGAGACGGGTACCCATGATGATTTAATGAGCCGGAAAGATGTATATTACAAACTCGTAATGCTGCAAACCATAGCAGAAGAAGTTGAAAATGAGGCGGACAACATTTCAGTACTAAGTAACGAGGAGAAAGGTAAGGGTAATTATCAGAAGGATGTTGCCTCAGGCGATGGTAGCGTTTCTATTCAGGAGACTTGTTGCATTTGGTTATTCAAAAGCAGGACATCAGAATCAGAGAGCGTTCTATGCATTTTTTAGAATAATTATTTTGCCGCAATTTTCTTTTCGAAATGGGAAAATTAGAAAATCTAGCCTTCGAAATCCACCCACAGTATTTGAGGGCCCTTGATTTTGTGCTTTTGTTCAATCATAAGTGCCAGGAGGTGATCTTTTGTTCTACGCAACTTTCAGACGTAACATTTAATGACATGTTCCTTACAATCTGTCAAGGTTTTAACAGTCTGTGCACTTCATTTGTAGCTCTGAGGCTGGCTGAAAAAATTAGTCGAAAGTTTTCAGTTATTTCACAGACAAGTGAAACTAGTGCAGATGAAATCGTGAAATTAGAGAAGACATTGCAAAAACAGTACTCCAGGCAGCATACGCAAAGAGAGGAGAAACATGTGGTATGTTTTAGCAGTTCTTTGCAAAGATACTTTAGAATATATGTGGTTGTGTGTTTATTTACAAATTACGTTTGGAAAGAAAATCTTGAAGAAAACTCTTCATTTTCATTCAACAATCTTGTTTTATTTGCCACAATTTTGGGTTGACAGGCACGTATTTCTAACGAGGCTTACTGTTAGAGTCGCTTCAACTTAATCATTGGCCTAGGCTCGTAATTTTTTGTTTTATAAAGTTTATATACAATTAATATTCTAATCTGAGAACAGTCAAGTCATTATTATGTATATTTTGCTGATTTATTTAATTTCATTATTGTGAAACTCATTTCATCATTCTAGACGAAGAAGAAAGAGGAACCTGAAGAAGAGATAGAAGAGGAAGTAGAAATTCCCCCTCTTTCAAGAATCATGAAACTCAGTATAACCGAGTGGCCATATTTGGCACTGGGCAGTGTATTTGCTGGAATGGCTGGTGCATTTCCTGTTGGATTTGCTGTCATTATCAGCGAAATTATCAAGGCAAGGATCAGCGTTCTCCTAGTTGGCGATCGGAATTTCTCTAGACAACATTTGTTCCAATAGAAATTAGCTTCTGTTAAATATGACCAAGCTTTGTTTTATAAGTCGACAGCTTTTGAGTAAACAACTATAGCTGGAGCTTGAGTCCTAATTTTCCATAAAATAAGCGATCGATGCTCTAAATGTTTTATGCCATATGGATAACTGCTATGGTATTTTAATAAGAGTGCTAAGAAATCAAATAACAATGCAGAGAAATGAGTAATTTTGTCTTGCAGATCTTCTCCTTCAAAAGCAATGTCAAAGAAATGAGAAGCAAGGCTGAGTTCTGGTCCCTGATGTTTGTTGTACTCGGAGTTGGCTCTGGTGTTGCCATCCTTGTTTCTGTAAGATCAATTGAATCGTTGTTACATGATTATAATTCTAAATGATCCTCTATGATTAATGAATAAATAAATTAGGTTTCTTCTTTTAGCTCCTCATTATGCATTCAAAGGACTTATGCCTGCCTGTGCTTTTCACAATTTTCTCAGTTTGTGAAGACTGTACAAAATGCATTTGTTCAATACATTTGATTTAGAACACACTGATATCCATCATTACTTTTATAAGAATTTGGAGATGTTATTAAATGATAATTATGATGCATTTTAAAAACTTGAACATGCTCACGTGCCCTAACGTACCGCTTTATGTTTATTTTGGATAATTTTTCACCATATGTTTTCCTCTTTAAGAGTTACCTCTTCTCTGTCGCTGGAGAAATATTAACAAGGCGATTGCGAGAGCTTTTGTTCCAAGCAATATTACGTCAGGTAGGATTACATTATTATCTTTTAAAATATCACTTTTTATTTTCTCTTTATTTCTAGTGCTTATAAGGTATGCTGTTTGACATTGTGATCAGTACCTTGGCCACAGAATAGGAAATAGGCACAAGGGCAACTCTCGTCGGTTCCTTCAAATTCCCCTTTAACCTCGATTTCATCAGACAAACTTAGCCATGGCAAATTATCGTTCATTTATCAGACAGTAAATTATTTTGATACACAAATGAACTTGTTTAGTATCATGGGGCATTTCATCGCAATAAAATTGTCTACTACCATTCTTTTTTGAATTTCCCCGACAGTTACATGCAAAGCCTCGTATAAATTAACTCATGCGCTAGAATTTTCAGGCTTCACCTGATGGGCAGGAGTTCCCCTTCTGCCTAATTCCTATTCTGTACCTTGGCCCTTTATGATTTTTTAGTCTGACAACCCCTCTTGATTATTTTTTCTAGAAATACAATTCCTTTTTCCACTTTGAACGTCAACTTAAGGTTTTTAGTATCCCAAAACTAGTATGGAGTTATTTTCCCAAGACTTGGGTGGATGGAATGTATAACAGCTGCAATAGCGTACTAAAATCTGCAATACCTGCATTATGGTACTAAGCTATCTTATTGAACTCTCAGATTGACTCAGAGTTTTTTAAAAATGTTTTGATATCTCTCAGATAACATTGATCCTAAACTGTTGAAGCGCGGTGTATCCAAAAACAGCCTGTTACATTCAATAATCGCTTTCATGAAACACAAGTTGGAGTCATATTCCTTTTTTTAATTCATATTATTATCAACTGATATCTTTTTTACAACTTGCAGTGGCATTGAAACTGGTTGCAAGGTCTTTGAATGCAAATCGTGTCGTTCTGCATGTCATTTTCATTTTACTATAATTTTTCAAGACATTTAACCATGTAAAATTAATCTTATTATGTCACAGGCTGGTTTCTTAGTTCAACGTAAATGCTCAAAGACACGTCGAATGTTAAGTCTAATAATCCCATGCTAGGCCATTGGCTGAACATTAGCATTTCTTCAGAAAAGGCAAACAAGTGTTCGACCATTTGAGCCTGTTTGATTATATTCTATCAATGCTCTAATCTGTATACGTAGGTGCAGTGCTTTCCATCTACAATATATCAATATTATCGCAATTTTCTTTCAGGATATATCTTTTTTCGACGAGCCTACTCATTCAACAGGAGCTCTTAGTGCACGATTGGCTTCCGATGCCTCGGGCGTTCAGGGGGTAATCTGAAATTAAGATTTACTTTTGATTTAATTGTATAATTCCCTTCTGCTTCCTGATCAGTTTATAGCAATGTTTGCCGAGACTGTCTTTTTTTATGTCTTGAGGCAGAAAAAATTTAGATCCGACGAAAGGAGCTCGTTTTTTATATGTTTTGAATGCAATCGAGTTATGGATGAATTTCTTATATTTTAATTATTGAATTTTGTTATTTAGTATGTAAGAAAGTCCAATATATCATAGAACAATGAAATTTGATTATTTTAGTGGAGTTTTAACTTCTCCTGCTTTCAATGGAAAAGTCTGCTACCAAAGCACATATTTCTGAGCATAACAGTAAGACTGTGATTATGAATGATAGCAAAAATATCTTTCTAGTCTTGGAAGAATTTATAAAAATTTGATTGCACTGTTTAAACCTACTTGAAATTCATCAGAAATGCAAGGCTACCTTTAAGGAAAATTCAAAATCTATTCTGTGCTGTTTGTTTTATGTTGTTATATGATCTGTAGTTTTGTGTTCTCATTTAGGCCACGAGTATCCGGCTGTCAACACTGGTTCAAGTAGTTGTCATGGGTCTCTCTGCCATAATAGTTTCATTTGTATACTCTTGGAAGTTGACACTGCTTATATTCGCGTTTATTCCCTTCCTCCTGCTGGCTGGTGCCATGTACACATCAATAAACACGAGTTTTGCAGCAAAGGAGAAAGAGACATTGGTACAGGCTTCCGCGGTATGTGTTGGTTCGCGAAATTTGTTGGTTCGCGAAATTTGTTGGTTTGCGAAATTTGTTGATTCGCATTTATATTTCATCTTATCGTCATCTGTATTCTTTATCTTATTGCCTCTTGTTAGGCAGAAAAGTCCACCAGAAACTCTAGAAACTACAGAAATGCATTTTAAGGGCATGGCTGACCTTCGATGCCTCATGTGTTTTATCAATGCGCCCCCAGTAACATTTCGGCTACTGCGTTATTAAAAGTGGCTTTCTAATAACGGGACCATTGAAGACAGAAAGAACAGACCATTCTAGATATAACAGAGCTCTAAACAATTCTTTTAAAAAGACTTGATAATTTCACCTTCTGAAAATATCCCATCACAAGACCTAGGCAGCGAAAAAAAGTTTTTTTTGTTTCTTTCCCTCAAATCCATGGGAATGTCTTGTTAACACTGTAACGATCTTTATTAGAGAATCGAAGTCTTTGGGTACCTGGGCCCTGGGGCAAAGTCCTGGCTGGGGCCCTAGAGTCGGATACAAAAAAATTTTCGCGACCACGCCCTTTTTGAAATGGGAAACGCCCATTATTTCCAAACGTTTGCGCACGTTATAGCATATGGTTAAAATATCATATAATGTAATAAAAAGCATTAATTCTAAAGGTAAGCGATTTAAATACGCTCTTTGACCACACCCTTTTAGCTGATTAAAGAGGACTTCAGAATGTGTTCCTTCAATTCTGACTGTTTTTTTCTGGTGAGCCACGCAATATTAAAATTTAAAATGAAAGGAAACTTTTATTCTACGCACTTTTATTCAAAAAATCCCATGGAACTACGCTTTTCAGTTCTTTCGTCTTTCAAAAGTTAATTTTTCTTGCTTTTCAGTTGCAAACTGATCAATGATATTGTCGTAATCAATTTGTCTTGCTAGTTCGTGCTCGATCGAAAGAGTCATGAGGCTTGATAGTCGGTCTTGAGTCATTGTTGAACGTAAGCTGTTCTTTATTAATGCTAGTTTGCTGAAAGGGGCCCCAAAAGTATAATATAGCTTTATGCAACGAGTCTAAATGCAAACATAACTCACTTGAACGGGCCATAGATTAAAACAAGATTATATGGGTTACCTAATTTTTTATCAGGGCTCCCTTCCAATAAGTATGATTTTGCAAAACTCAGGGAAACTCAGCTTAAAAGACGAATCCGTAAAATATGTGATCTAAGGTTTATTCAACTTTTTCCGGGGCCCCAGACTCAATAAATAAAGCTATTAGGCTTTAAATTCAAACAAGACTCAGTGTACGGACCCAATGAAATTACTGCCATCATTTTCGACATTAACAAATATATCTTTGAATGCATTTTCAGTTTCTCAAAAAAAGACATTTTAAAAAAATTTTCAGAATAATTTTGGGGCCCCTTTCAGGCCGAGGCCCTGGGGCAAATTGCCCCCCCCTGCCCCCCCTCTCTGCGCCACTGGGTAGGCCATCGTTTATAAGCGAAAAAGTTGTTCATCGTTAGACTTTTGACTGCTGAAATTACGGGGAAAATATCGAGAAACAAACGAGTGCACAAAACCAATTTGAATTATGGTAGTTATTTTGTTTGCGATCTTGTTTTACGAAGTAAGGGGGAGTAAGCGCCCGATATCCCGGAATGCGTTATTAGACCGAGGAGGCTAATAACGTGCGAGTAAACTACAATGGCTTTACGCCCTGTTTTCTATGACGAATACGTCACATTCATAATAAAAGTCTATTGACATGCGGGGCCTTGAGCACGAGTCCAAATCATTGTGTATGAAAATAAACAATGACGGCCATTACAAGCCTATAGCTTTGGAAAACTGTTATTAGACTAAAAACACTAATAACGCTGTAAGCCGAACCCAGTTTCTGATAGTTGAAGAGTGGGTTTGACAGTGTTTGTTTTAAAGGGTTGACCTACATTTAAAGCAAATATAGGCTCGTCGTTCGATGCTTTTCAACTAGCTTGGCCTATATTTTTTCATAGCCTTTTTTGATATAATGAAATGAGAATACTCTGCTGTTTTAGGTTGCCAGCGAAACAACTACAAATATCCGCACGGTTGCATCTTTAGGCGTTGAAGAATTCTTTTTCGATCGCTACGTGACGCTACTGAGCCAACCTTACAAGTAAATATGATGGTTTTGCTTTGACTTTCATTGCATTACAAACTGATAGGCACATCTAGTGAATGAATAAATGACTGCATAAAGTTAATTCAAAAATCAACGAGCCAATGATTCTTTTTTAGAGCAATTTGAGCATTTCAAGCTGTTACTTTATGTTGTTTCTAGGAAAGCACAATACAATTCGCATTTCTTTGGCGTTTCTTTTGGAATGTCATATGCCATATGGTTTTTAGTCAATGCAGCCGCATTTCGCCTAGGTGGACACTTGGTTGTGAGAAATGAAGTCGATTTTGCGGACATGTTCAAGTGAGTAAAACACAGTCGATAGGGACACGTTGGTGTTTATGTGAGATCGAGAATAATGGTTTTTAACGGAACTGCCTTTTAGATTATTTTTTTTTTCATCTTGTTAAATCACGTATCTTTTCTTTGAATCACTACAACGATTAGCGAAAAAGCAACTTCAGCCAGATTGGTTAATTTATTTCAAAATAAGCATGCTTTACTTGCTAACTTTACTAACGTCGATGCCAGCTTTTTTTACATAATGTTTCTTGGAAAAATCGCCCCGCAGATTTTATATCGCCAAGAGTAAGAATTACAGCTACTTTTTGTTTAATCGAGATATAGTGAACTGTTTTAGCTGTAATAGAATAATCACTCCCAATGTCATGTTATCACATTTCTCAAAGGGTTGTATTTGCCTTGGTTTTTGCCGCCATGTTTGCTGGACAAGTAGCCTCGTTTGCGCCAAATTATCTGAAGGCTAAAGTCTCGGCTGCAAGGATTTTCAAGCTTCTTGACCTTGTCCCGCCTATTGACAGTTACAGTGAAAGTGGCGAGAAACCCGTAAGTAACTAGCCCTGAGTTGAGGGTATATTGCAAAATATCCATATAGCATGCCTTTTTTTCTTTGGATAGTTCCTGGTATTAAGTTATTAACTGCTGAATCATATTGATATTAAACGTAAAGTCGGTTTTATGCTCAGAGACGAGTTAATCCAAAAGTAATAAAAGAAACTCTGCTTTGCTTCTATTATTCCACGAGTGCTGTCGTAGCCCAATTTCAGGCTTTGGTCATACACGTTGTAACAACGTTTTTCCTAGCAAACTAATATTGGTGGAAGACTTGTTGATGTTTTTAGCAAATAGGTTATTGCTATAACGGTTAACAATAATCAGTTTTCTTTTCTCTGAATGTCCATTAATTTGTTGTTAGGATACAATGGACGGAAGCGTAAGCTTCAATGAAGTTCAGTTCAGCTACCCAAGTAGACCGAATGTTACCGTATTAAAGTCTCTTTCTGTTGAAGTAATGCCTGGTGAGACTTTGGCTCTGGTTGGTCCAAGTGGGTGTGGTAAAAGCACCACTGTTTCGCTGATCGAAAGATTTTACGATGTTGCAACGGGCGCAGTTGTAAGTCAATGTTTTATTCACGCCAGATAACAATAACAGGAATTCCAAAATATACCAGCATTTTTCTTTAGACTGATTTTTCTTTAGATTTTATTCTAATAATCTTTCTGGCTTTTTTATTCATAGTATCGAGGTCCAACGAGTAGCTTTTTCAAAATTAAACTTTTTTTCATCTAATTAAATTAAACTTCATGATTTTCCTCGGTCTAAAAATCTTTTTTTATACAGAAACTGGGTGGGCTAGATGTGCGAAATTTGAACCTTGGTTGGCTGCGCTCCCAAATTGGCTACGTAGCTCAAGAGCCTGTCTTGTTCAACTGCAGCATACGTGACAACATAGCGTATGGTCTTAATGACGAGGAGCGGAAAAGTATCGAGCAAGCTGAAATCGAGGCTGTTGCCATGTCAGCAAACATACACCATTTTATTGCGTCTCTTCCCAACGTAAGTTGATTAAGAGGGTCGGTTTTGTTTTTAAGATCCATTTTTGCCAAGATTTCATAATTACTAAGAGGCATTTAGATTTGTTTTCATTCACATTTCTATTCTTTAAGCGGTATGGCGATTAGTTTTTACGAAAATTTATGATGAAAGTAGTGTCGTTGGTCAATACATTGTACCATCGTATTTTTCTAACTCTTTCAATCTTTATAATTGCTTTTCTTTTTTAATATTGGTAGTTGGAATCTTTATTTTATTTCTGTAAAAATTCTAAGAATATTTTTAAATTTTTCTTCTTTGTTAATATTTAAAGGGTTATGACACCTTAGTTGGCGAGAAGGGCACTTTGATATCAGGAGGACAAAAACAGAGAATTGCTATTGCACGTGCGTTGATCAGAAACCCAAAACTTCTATTACTGGACGAAGCAACGTCAGCTTTGGATTCGGAAAGTGAAAAGGTACGGCCCTCGTGCTACACCGTTTGATGATTGATCCGTGAAAGCATTTTCTTGCAGTTGATCTAGTTTTTGCCAAACCGAGAAATTTGTTTTTCTTCACATTGCTTGAATTCGTCGTTTTTGAATCATTTCTAACAATGCCAAATGCAAAACTGTAACATATTGCTGACCACTTTGACGTATTACTGTTTCTTTTCTTTGCCTCCCTTTCAAGGAATCGTGTATTGATCAACTCAAATGTTAACAACAGTGCAACTGGGTTGTTTACTTCTATACTGACGTGAGTTGTAATCAATCCGTAACATCGCAAATTTCTTTTCTTTTGAAGGTCGTGCAAGATGCCCTTGATGTTGCAATGGAAGGACGAACCTCGATTATCATTGCCCATCGCTTATCGACGGTTCAAAATGCTGACGTCATTGCTGTTGTGGAGAATGGGAAAATCATCGAAGCTGGAAGCCATGCTGAGCTCATGGAGAAGAAAGGCGCATATTACGTTTTGAACAGTGGACAGTTTTAACCGCAGTCATCAAGCAATGAATTCTCCATATCACAGAAAAGCCTTATGTCGATGCAGAAAGTAAGCAGGATTTCGTTACAGAAAACAGTATATTCTTTAATTAACCTTCCCTTGCCCTTTTTGCAAAATGGAGCTTATTTTTGGCACTTGGAGAATACAGTTTGCAAAAGTTAGATATGGTTGGTTGTTGGTCAAAGAATTAGATTTAGCTCGAGCGGGATGCACATTTTTATCAGTATAACTCAATGTATGCGAAAATAAATTAAGGAAAAAGGAAATGCATTACAAGGGTTAGTAAAATGCTAACACCAACTTGCCCTGATAAAATAGGGCAGCCATTAACAATTTCATCGCTTTAGATCTTAGTTGTATAAGCATAGCTGTATGTCATTGAAATTGTTTGGGCCTATCGTAGGCTTTGGTCGCCATGATTATGATCTAGTCTCCGAACCCTAGTAAAATATCAGCCTGGCTTTTGCTTTCATGTAGCTGATATTGAACTTCACAATCGGACAAAAGTGTTAAATCCTTTCTGGTCTTTGGCATTCACATTGATTACAGAGTTGTATCAAAGAAAGCAATTCTCAGATCCTTGAACCGTGTCATGTTTAAACGTACATTGTTTTTTGGGGGGCCTGGAGCTGTAAGTTTTGAAGAAGCAGCTAGGTTTTCAATTTTTGGTAGATAAATCTCCCCTACCAAAGAAGTTGTGGCATGCAGCTCAAGCTTGCCTACAATGATCCTCGTTTGGTTTGGAGTTTTTACCTCAACTCAGGAAGCCCTGTCTGACAAAAAATGGTTGTTTGGTTCAGATCTTTGATTAACTATGAAATCTAATTCGACTTAAAAGTATATCAAACGAACTGTAACCTCAATAGGTTGTAAAGTATCATTCTTTGGGTGCAGCTCCCAGGTTCGCATGCTTTTGGGGATGAGAGGGGGGGGGGGGGGTGGAGAAATCTCATTTGACTGTTTACAGGAACACTGACACTGCTTTTGTTCCTGCGTTAGAACCTTGTTTTTACATAGCACTATTTCAACAAATAATTATGATATTTCATTTTATGTAAAAATGAAATTAGTTATTCTGAAACAGATTTCAAATATTAGCTTCGTTTCTCTATATCTTAGCGATATGTGTAACCTTTATTATATGTCTATAAGGTTTGCTGTGTATTTTTCTGCACCATTGTGCTCAATGTTTTTATTGTACAGAAGTTCAAACATGTTATACACGATAAAACATGTTATGCTTGTCATATGATATCGTTTTGTTGTTTCATAATGCGTTGCATCACTGTAATAAGCGAAAACTTATAATTTCTGAGGTAGTATATTGTAGCGTGACTCTTGACCTATCTTCTTTGACCTATCTCCCATGACCTGTCTCTCTTGCCCTATCTCCCCCGACCTCTCTTGCATTCATTTATCAGAAACATAAGGCGGATAACCCTATTGCAGAGTCTAGTGAGCATTAACCATTAGTGAAACTTAAGCAATACCACAAGTGTCCTTCTCGGTTTTCTTTTTTAAGGCAGGTTTTCGGATATTGAAAATGAATACCAAATGAGTCTGGTACCAAGGGTAGGAAATGGGTTGCAGCAGTCAGGAAAGCAAGGCCACGAGGGGACAACTGACAACCCTTATTTTTAGAAAAAGAATCAATTTTATCGAGATTTACGTTCGCTTGAGTGTTTCGCAATTAGACTTTTTCAAATTTTATATATGAAACATTATTGAATTGTCAAAAGATATGTTTTACATGATTTACTTCAAGCACAATCTCTGGTACAAGCTCTTGGAACTAGTTTTGTTTTAAAAAATAAACTTCTTCCGGCAAAAAATGTACGAAACCACAAAAAACCTCAGCAAAAACAATGTTGGTTTTCAAATTGAACATCACAGCTATCCATTTAAAGGAATCCATTTAACCACGCGAGCCTGTTGACATTGCATGAAACAGCACTGTGTGGAGGGAGGGATTGGGGTGGTAGAGGAATGCAAAAGGAATGTCCAAAAATTTAGAGAAGTGGTACTCGATAAATGATTATTTGTCTTGCCTTCAGTCGTCCCCCAACGAGGCTCTCCCCTTTCCTCTTTCATTCTCCTTCGCATTTCCTTTCCCCCGTTCTTCATCCTTTGACTCTCTGAGGCTCTGGCACCCAGGGTATGATTACCCTAGAAAAAATAATTAATCTTTCGTTAATTAATCTGAAAAAAAGACTTATTTTGATTTTTGAGAAAACACTTCTGCAATCTAGAGAATTCGATCAAAGAACCTTAATGTGTTTTTGGAATCGGTTTTTAAATACTCGTGATCAATCACCCAAAATGTTGATTTTTTGCCGGCTGAAAACACACTGGAAGGTTTTAGACTAGAAGGCTTTGCCGAGGAAGGTCTAATGCTTTGTCGAGCGGAAATGAGAATCTTTGAAAACCCTACTTCAAGTTTTGGAGCAAAGTTTTTTACCCATTTTTTAAGAGGGTCCCATCCAATTTGGAAATTCTACCACATAAATGACACTCTTTTAAGAGCACGGCACAATTAAAATTAATTTAGGATTTCGATGACAACAACAAACAATAGTAAAAGCTGGGCTAATATCGCTCACTTTGTAAATCAGCTTTTGCAGGTGTCAAAAACGACTTTCTTATCCATTGATGTAAAGATTGTATTTGTTGTTGTTGCTGTTTAATAACTTTTTATCAATTATGTTAATCTCAGTTTATTTTTTCTTGCTGTCCGTAGCTTGATTTTATAAAATAAACATTTAATAAGTCTATCATAATCCTGTTTGCGACGCAAGTAGTTTTGAAGTTGCTGTAAGGAAAAGAAGCCTTCGCCCTCTACTTTTGCTAGCTTTGGGCCCCCCATTTTCAAATTTGTTGCATGGGCCCTGGATATACGTCCAAGGCGGTGACGATTCTATAGAAAATCTATAGCTAAGGCACAAGGAACACACAGCTCGCTTTGAAAATATTCTAAAACAAACATTTGCTTAGGTAGGTTTTAAACTGATTGTTTTTGTACCCAGAGCATTTTTGAGCTCATCTGTGCAATTACAGCACATTGTTGCACACAACGGAACGAAAAGCAAGCCAAATAACAGTTTTCCGTTATCAAACCTAAATCTTATATAGGCGATATTTCACCCGGTTACAGACAAACATGACCGATTTTCCATATTTTTAGACATTTCATTATGTTTTTAGTTTATATGGTCAATGTGAAAATGCTAAAAAAGATTATTTTATGACATCATCCTCTAGGACTTTCAGAGCCGTTGGGAGCCAGCTCGCCTCTTTTTCAGCCCGTGAGGTGGACATTACATGTGCTAACATCTAATAAAGCCTAATAAAGCAAATTTTTACTGACCCTAAGGTTATTACAACAGGTACTCCCACTTCCTTGACGCCCCTGCTTCAGATCGTTGGAAGCGGGGGCACGGGGCTCCTCTATACTTAATGGAGTGGGGTGGGGAAATGGGGGTATTGCTACACTGTTCTCCGCCCCGTCACTTCAGTTTACCAAGTACCGTAATGCCCCCAACAAGCGCCCCCCTCAAATAAGAGCCCCCCCCCTCGAATAAGTGCCCACCCAAGAGGTGGAGTTATTGAATAAGCGCCTCCCTTGAATAAGCGCCCATCCTTCAACCTTCAGAAACGGCGCTCAATCGAATTTACAACGAAAACATAATTGGAAGGCAATTCAACAAGAAAGATTAATGAACAACACAATTTGCACCCAAATCTACTTTTTAAATAAGCGCCCCCTCGATTAAGCACCTTCTTCGAATAAGCGCCCACCCTGGAGCTTGAACAATTAAATACACCCCGGGCGCTTATTCGAGGCATTACGGTAGAACTTTTATCATTTTAATTTTTCGGAAACAAAACGCAACGCCATAGTGGTTTCCATACACACGTTTTTTATAAGAAACCGCTTCATAAGAAACTCACTTGTAAAAGGCCAAACAATTTAAGAAACTTCCACTTGGAAATGAAAAATAGCTAAGAAACTTTTTATTCTTTTAAAGACCAAACAATTTTTTATTCTTGTTCGAAATACGGAAGACAACAACTGTGTGTGGTTTTACGCTGAGGTGAACAACCAGTTTTATGAACAAGATATCATCAAACGCAAAATATCTGTATTTCATGACAAATGGCATACTGGAGAGATAAAGTGGTTCAACACTAAGATTGAGGAATACAGAGTTTTGTTTCAAGACAAAAGTGAATTCTTTATCTTACTCATGCCGATATCAATAGAGTAGATATGAGGCTCAGCTCAATGATAAACGTTAGACTTACAATTATATTAAATCGATTTTCCAGACTAACCTCATTTTGTTTTCACTTGCTTTCTGATGTTTTAATTCTATGTGTGCGTTTTTTTCCAATATCCAATTAATAAACTTTTGCTGGCAAAATGTGTCCAAGAATGCCCTAAAATTAAGAAACTTTCAACAGTGAAGCTTTAGCTAGGATTCTTATAAAAAAACGTGTACCTTTCTGAACGCGTTTTGAACTTGATTGGAAGTGTGAATGGAGTTCCTCGGGCAGACATTGATGGAAAATCATTCTTATCTTGAACTGTAAACGCCGTGGGGCATGATTTGTCAAGTTTACCTAAATAACATGAAAAGAGCAGTTAACCGGTGAACAAATCCCGGAACTCAACTTATTTGCTGAATTCTTTGGTTCTGAATCAGACATTGTTTCTTTGTATCGTTTGTTATGATATGATTGCGGTGTGTGTCAACGCCGAATGCAAATCATCCCTGAATTTTTCTCATATCGCCGTGCCCTCGCAGTTTGTAATACGATTCGAGCAGTGTAGTTGAAATCTCAACTGGGAAAGCAGATTATAATTTCGTTGCTGTGCTTTTAAAGCATTGTTTTAGGTATTCATGTACGTTTTTTCAACGAGACAATTTATATTATCACACTCATGCTGTTTTGAAAAGCGCTAAGGAAATCACTTGCTCGTTTGCTGCACTTAAAATATGCAGAAGGAAGGAGGACAGAGGCAAAGGCCCCGCTCGTTTGTTGGCGGTGGAAGCTTCGAGTTTGCTTATGACAGACGTTCAGGGGGAATAAGAGACACAGGAACGAGTGAAGAAAATATTGAAAGCAAACCAAGACGCCCGTTGAGTCTTTATGAGAGCCTCAGCAAGGATTTTTCAACTTCAAGGCAGAATTCCACATCGCCAACGAGGCCTGACGATAATAAACTGTTTGCGTCTTCGAGTGGAGGAGAAAAAGCCGATGATATGAACAAGGAAAAGGTTTGGACTTTATCTCATTTTCATCTTAGTTTTCTGTTAATACGGTTATTTGAAAGCTGAACTGCGTTACCTCGGACTGCAGCTTCGACGGGCCTAGGTTCCCGTTTCAAAATCACGTAAAATGTAGTGTCTGTAACTGATACACTACAAGAATTTTATGGTTTACATTTTCTGTTACTCAACGTTTTAGTGCCATTTGCAGCCGCTTAAATGATGTTGGTACTAAATGGACATGTTAATCTTGTTTAAAACCACAAAAAGTATTATCTTTTCTTGTTTTGAATATAACAGTCATTCAAATGGCCTAAGTGATCTCGCAAATCATTCCCTGTCACTGCCTTCCAATTTTCAATGAAGTTTTTCAATATTGCCCGTCTATTCACACAGTTTAGAAAATTTTAGACCGTCCAGTAACCCAGAGGATTTGCAGAGGAAGTTGTTAAATCATAAATCTGCGGGCATGTAACATTTTCTCAAAATGTTTACAAAATTTCTTTATAAATGCCATAAATTTGGAAGGTGGCTAAAGTCCAGTCTAGATGGTTCAAGGGTTCTTTCTTAGTATAAGTTATGATCAGCTTCACACTTAGTACCAAGAAAGGGGAAGGGGGGGGTTTATTTGGCACAAAGCCATACAAGGGAGACAGTCGTGTTTTTCTTTGAATTTTTTTCTTAAGGTGTTTAAGTAAATGATATTTTTGGATCTGAAAAAATAGATACAATTCTGTTTGTGACAGAAATAAATATCTTTACAAAGAACTGTTTTTTAAATGTCAAATAAGTTTGCTTTGTAAACTATTTTATCCTACTTGCAATTTGTGATGTTTTTGGGACAGTATATAGATAAAACTGATATTTTTGGGTCTAATAGTCTGGAATATCAATAAATATCTGTCAAGAGTGTTGATATATGTGCCAAATTAAGCTGACATCTTTCTTGTTTGCAAGGTATATATCTGGGATGATTCTTTTAATTCTAGGTGAGAAGAAATAGTGAGAAAGGAGAAGATGGCCTTAGGTCTAGAAAGTTTTCAGACTCTGCTGAAACAAGGGCACTTTATGTGGAATTATCATCGCCACCCACTAAGTCTGTCGATGAAAAATTTAATGCTGTCAGTCGCTTAAGATCACTGTTTGATCATGGAAATGCTGCCCCTGTGGTTCCAAGAAGTTCGTCTGCTAATAAGACAACCCTGCCAGGCTCAGTTTTGGGTCAAAATGGTAGACATGGAGGAAGTCTTGTAGATGTAAGTAAGGAAAGAAAGCATGAGCTAGAAACAAAAAGGCCAAAATTTGAGAAGATTGAAGCAGAAAAAAAGAAAAAATTATTTGCACCACCTGCCCCTGTTAAATTAGATGATCTCTTAAAAAGAGAATCCCCAAGAAGCTCTGAAGAAAAGATCCCAAAATTTAGAAGGTCTTATCCACTGGAACATGGACAGAATAAGGACAAAGTTGATACAAAGGAAAGAGCTTTTCATGTTACGCATTCACCTCCACCAACAGATGAATTTGAGGAGATGCATAGACGACGGAGATCTTTACCTAAGAAACGTTCTTCTTCATTTGAGTTTGAAGGCCTAGAGGATAATGTTGAAGTTATTGGAGAAAATAAAATTGATATTAATATGATACTTGGTTTAGAAACAACAAAAGAAGACCCAGTAGCTGAATCAAAAGAGGAGGAAAGTGAAACTCCTAAAGATGACACACAAAGAACAGATGGTGATATAGAATCATTATCACTTGGTGAGATAAGATGTGATGCAGTTGTTGAGCCATTAGACCAACAGATCAGTGAGAGATCAATTGATAATTCTGCACAGACAAATAGAAAGGCTACCACGATTGTAGATGATAATGATTGTGAACAAGATGCATTAGCGGATAAAACTGAACATTTTGATGTTGATGCTCCTAGGGATAGAAACAAAGAAACAATAGTTGAAGAAATTTGTTCAAAAGAACAAGTTTCTAGTGAAGAGAAGCCATTTTCTGTTGATCAAGAATTACAGATAAATGGAAATGATAGTTTGGCTGTGGATGAAGATATCATAATGGCTCAGGAAGAGTGCGATGCCGAAGCAGGGTTAGATTTCAATGCACTTGATAATTTGACAGATAGTTATGACCAGAGTGACTATGTTATGCCAGGATATGACAGCTTTGACTCATTTGCCTTGAATGTTAGAAGTAAAAAGGACAACATTGATGCCAAGATTTCTGAAAATGCCAATGAAGATGTAAAAATTGGTGAAAATGTGGTTGTTTGTACTGTAGATGAACAGATGCAGGATGATTTCAATGAAAATGTAGAGGAGGTTGCAGATCAATCAATTGTAGATTTTGATATAAAGGATGATACAGATTCTTCATTGGTTGCTGATGAAGATGAAATAGTGCATGCTGAAAATATTGAAGAGAAAGAGGTCAGTCATACAGTTTCTTCAGATTCAGAGCAAGATTTTGAAGATGCAGATGAAGAAATGAAACCCAACAAAGAAGAGTCAGTTCCAGTTTCTCAAATGTCAATCATTGCTTCTGTTTCGGGTTTGACAAAAGATGATGATGTAGAGGAGAAGTTAGAGGATAGTATTACAGAAGCTTTGGATAATTCTACACCAAATACAGTTGAATTGGATGATGAGTATTATGACAGTGACACTGGTGTTGATGATGATTCAGCTGTGGAAGGTGACAGTCAGTTACTGTATAGTTCAGTCAATGAAACACCAGAGGAACTGGAAGAAAGTATTGAGGAAAATGAACAAGAGGAACATGAAGAAGATGGAGCAGAAGATGACCATGAGTATGATGAAGAAGATGAAAGCACAGTTGTTGAAGCTGAAGATCCGTTGATGTTGCCACCTGCTCCTTCTCATTCATGTTTGTCTTCAGGAAAAGGAGCTGATAAGAAGAAGAGAAAAGTTTACTTTAACAATGATAAGGGAAGTATCATCTACACATACAGCGCTGAAGAGTACAATCGAAGCAACAGAGAAATTGATGCATTGACAGCTTCTGCAGAATGGGAATTAGAAAAGAGAGTTGAAGAAAAGGACATGTTTACAGTGGATCTTGACAAAAGTGAGTTAGCTTTCAATTTTATTTTTGTATCTGGAGTAAATATTTTTGTTTTTTTGTAGTACTCATAAGCAATGTCTTTGATCCAATGCCATTCATTTTGTGGCCAAATATTTGTACTTTCCATTTCAATTATGCACACACTTAATTGATTATTGCTATGTTAAGAATTTGTGGTCTAGCAAAGTTTTAAACATGCTAGGCATTAAGCTTGTATCAGATTTCTGCACTAAGATTTCAGCTGATTATAAGTAAGCCACTAAAATGTAAGGAATTACCAATCTAGGTTATCAAATAACTATAGCTGCCCAATTTCAACAAAGTTATGACACAAATAGTGGAGTCTAATTGCTTTAAATCCCAGCAACAGCTATTGGGCTAGAGTCTTAAGCAATCATTCATAAACCATTAAAAGTTCTTAAAAACGTGCTATCTCAATGTTGCTTTTAACAAGAGTCACGATTAAAAGCTCAATGCTTAGTCTCAGTGTGACTAACCTGTTTTAGTCTTACAAAGGTCCTGCTTGTTTCTGTGCGCATTATTCACTCGAAAACCAGTGCAGAAGTTAAATATAGCCTGTTTTAGCTATTCCGGAGGGCCAATGATTTTATTTGCTATATTAGGGCCCTTTGATAAATATTGGGACAGTATTGGCCCTTCTGAATATACAAAAAACAGACTAACTTGCTTAGCAACAAGTTTGGTGCTGAATTTCAAGTCACATTTGTTGATTCTTCTTTGCATTGGTTTGCTGAAAACTTTTGTTTGTAGATTGCTTCAAAAAGCAGGTATACTTAAAACAGACTGATATGAAATCAATCTAAGGTTTTCTATAAACATTTGTTTTGTTACTTGATAACAAAACTTGGTTTGATTGAAATTAGGATTGAATTTGTCTTTTCATTTGCCTAAAACAATTTAGAGCAAACCTGATAATATCTACTTTTTTCTTTTGTTGCAAGAAGACGTCATGCTAATGCATGTTCTAATTGCTCAGTATAAGGTGGTGTATATCCTTTGAAGAATGGCTCATGGATGTTTGGCTAATCTGTTTAAGAACCGCGTATCTTACATGTTTTTGTTGAATTTTTGAAGACGGATTTTGGTTTCTTTAATTTCTTTTTCAAAAATCTCTACGTCGATAAAGTACAGGACATGGATACTTTTTTAATAAGAGTTTTTCCCTTGGGTTAGAAATTCATAATATTCAAAAAATTGTTGCGAACAGAGGCCCTAGTGTGAATTTGTCCGAAGTTTACTTGGTTTTTTGTCAGTCAACGTCTTTGCAGTATTATGAGTGTGATGGTCCCCCTCCTTTTCAGATGAAGATTTACGCCAACGGGAAAACATATTGTGTTCCACGTCTATCGATGTCAATCTTAGATTTTATAAGAAACCCAGCCTTATTTCTAGACAAGGAAATCTTTCTGGGGTTTTTGAAATTCCTGCAAATGGTCAGGCCTAGTCTTATCAACGAATAACTATATATGATAATAGATGTATTGGCCAAAATGGCCCTTAATCTATTATAGCGAAACCAAACGTCGTAATTTTAAATGGTTTATTAAAATTGCCACATCTAACATAACAGTACTATGTCTTGCCACTGTTCAGATTCTTGCCACTGTTCGGATCCCTTATGCTACACATTGTGGTTTTGAACGGTTTATGTAAACAAACTCCGGTATTGAATAAACAATGAAGCAGTGATCGTTACTTTTAATTGATTATATGCATTGATGCAGAAATATTTCATTTGTTCTTTTTTGAAATAGTAAAGAGTTGGTTTTTTCAAAAGTTTCTTTACATAAATTATAAAGGAAAATGCAAATGATCTGTCTAGTCGTCGGTTTAAATTGTATTTATGGCAGCGAGTAACTCTGTGGTCGACTGAAACCAGCTTTCATATGTCAAAGTATGAAAAGATAAAAATTTCTTCAATGAAAAGGTAATAAGGATCAAAGCCTGAAACTAACATAATTAATTGTTCTCCGTCTGTACGTCTAGGATTCGCAACAACAATCCTTTCATTCTAACCAACAATACATTTTACTTCTATGATAATATTTCGAACAATGTGAGAAGCTAACTCTAATTGTATATGCATTTCATTGATTATGTTCGCTTGGCAATTTTGAAAAAGTATCCCCCCTCCCCTTTTTGAAAAAAGGTCTTGAAAATCTCAAACGGTACACACGAGTCCCTTAGACCTAAATGTAACTGATTCAAAAGGCAAAGCTGTCCTTAATTGGGGGGGGGGGAGGGGGTTTCGCGAAATGATTAAAGAAAAGTTTTTTGTTTCAGTTGTGGATAGACGCTTTAGGGCTTCATTAGAACCTTATGAACACGTCTGAAGTGTTAAATCTAATGTTCAATCGGTGTCTACCAAAGAAAAGCGGCATACTGGAAAAACCAGACCATATGATCCTAGGACCCCTATGACCCTTAAGACCATCAACTACGAAGAACCAAAAAGGACCCTTAAACTACTTCATGATTTGTGGCTCCCCCAGAGCCATGCCTTTTAACACATGACAGACACACCAATCCTAATGGACAATGTGGGCAGAGCATGGAGCAGAGCCGGGTGCAGCTGCAGAGCACTAGAATTCAGGGCAAAACAGTAGTCTTCCATTAAAAAGTTCCTCATTTCTTTAACTTCCCCGCCCATACAGCACACACTGCGCGGGTTAAATTTCCATGAGGCGAGTTTTGCAGCCAAATCGCTGGTAAAGATATTGAGGGGGAGGGGGCGCAGTTTTGATTTTTGACTTCGAAAAGAGTTCTAATTTTACCGCTGCGAAATATTTCGCCAAATATTTGCGAAATATTAAAAGTTTGCCAGTTTGTCTAGAGCTTCCTCACACCAAAATTTACTTCGGCGTCCCTGCTTTATGCCTTGTTTTTGAATGTGGGATGTGATACCCTCGAACCGAACTAGAAACCTCCCAATGCCAGTTTGATATATTTTATCAATCTAGCATCTGCTCAAACCTAAAGGTTGCTCACAGATCATGTCATAGCGCCTGGATGTCGAAGATTTCATTCCTTTTTGTCATTTCTTGCAGGAGATGGTGGCCTTGGGTTAAGTATCATCGGCCTCGGCGTAGGAACAGATTCAGGAGTCGAAAAGCTCGGAATATTTGTGAAATCTCTCACTCCAAATGGAGCTGCCTATAAAGACAGGAGGTAAAGAAGGTCTATTGGTTCGTCTCGCTAGCAAAATGTCCTTTTAATGTCGTTTGAAACCACGCGGTTTTTGATGAAATTTAAAATAGGTACCGTATTTCCTCTAATGAACACCACCCTCTGATAAACGCCGCCCTCTATTGAACACCGCACCTTCAACCAACCATTCGTAAAAAAAGCCGCCCTCTGATAAATGCCGCTCTCTGATTAACGCCGCCCCCTATTGAACACTGCACCTTCAACCAACCATTCGTAAAAAGCGCCGCTCGCTGATAAACGCCGCACTCTGATAAACGCCTCCCTCTATTGAACACCGCACCTTCAACCAACCATTCGTAAAGAACGCCGCCCTCTGATAAACGCCGCTCTCTGATTAACGCCGCCCTCTATTGAACACTGCACCTTCAACCAACCATTCGTAAAAAACGCCGCTCGCTGATAAACGCCGCACTCTGATAAACGCCTCCCTCCATTGAACACCGCACCTTCAACCAACCATTCGTAAGAAACGCCGCTCGCTGATAAACGCCGCACTCTGATAAACGCCGCTCTCTATTGAACGCCGCATCTTGAAAAGTGGCGTTCATAAGAAAACACACCAAACATGAAGTAACGAATAGTTTGTACGCTTACTGTTCGAAAGCTATGAAAGTTATGTCACTGGGACGAAGACTCTGACGGAGACTCTGACGGAGACAAGGGTAAATTTAGATTTTGTGATAAATGCCGCAGCGCTCTTTAGAGGAAGTATGGCATGTCTCTCACTTAAAACAATTTGTTTACTATAATTAATCTGCTTTGCTGAAAAATTTGTTTTGACAAATTTATATATAATTGTAATAAAGAAAGTATAATTATACGATTTTGATAGTAAACACAGTACTCTTATATCCTTATTACTTCTCATCAAATTTTCCTCTCAATATAGGATACAAGTGCAGGATCAAATTCTCGAAGTCAATGGAATCTCACTCGTTGGAGTGACTCAGGATTTTGCCGCCCACACACTTAGAAATACGTCAGGAAAAGTCAGGTTGGTCCAGTCTCCTAAACTGCTACAAAATGCACAGTCCTTTTCACGTGTCTGTTTCCGAGAGGAACTCCACTCTGAGAAAAACCTCATTCGAGAACATTCTTTTAACCCTCGAATTGCCCCCTCATTCTTTCGTTGAAGCCTCCTCTTTTCGAATAGGCCGCCTACCTGGAAGTAAATATTGTAAATTTTTGTATTCATTTCTCACTTATAAATCCTTATAAGATCTGTTTCATGTGGTAGAAGGAAGACACGCAGTATAGGCTGTACGCCTGATTCTGTGAATCTTACAATGAGTAAAGATAAAGGTAATGGGCTGAAACAAAGTAAAATGATATTACAACACATCGGTTTCTCGTCGTCCTTTTGCTCTGTTCCTGCCTTCCATTGTTTCATGTTCTGGTTTACGCGTGCTGCCATCAACGCCAACCCTGGAGCCATCAGCTGATAGCCGTCATTTCTTTGTATTCCAGATTTTTGATGGGAAGAGACAAAACAAAGAGGCATTACCAGGCCCCTGCCACTGGAGCTGATCCAACACTGCAGGTATCTACTACTTCCGTGTTTAGAAGCACTGATTTGTAATCTTTTTTAAACAATTCACGAGAGCCATGGATCATGCGGTAAACTTACCTTTATTTCTTTCTTTTCTTAAATAATTTGAAGAAACATGTTTATTCATGATGTGTTTATTGGAGGTGTTTTTGCTTACTAAACAAAAATATGCCATGTCTGCCAGTTATACATGTTACAAGTAATGAGAAGCCAATTGTTAAAACATGACTGTTTTAGGCCTGGTGCTGTCTTCAATCCGATTTTATTATATCCTGCATTTCCTACTCAGTCGGGTTTTATAAGAGATCAATGGATAATTTGCAATTAATCTTTAAACTGTATTTTACTTCATGTAAGGGTTGTGAGTTAAAGATTTAGGCCCGCAACAAACAATTCCCTCGTCATTTAAGCACATCATGGACGCCTAATGATGAAAGGTGAGATATAAAGGCTAAAGGTTTTCACGGGAATAACCTTTTTCGAATAAACGAGTTTTTCTAACCGAAAAAAAACGAATCCATTTTGAGATGCAACTTGACGAAACCTCTATGCCATAAAATTGCCCAGGACTGAGCTCTGAGTTTCGAATGGGTTCAAGCTAATATTTATTATTATTCAAACTGGGGGCGGACATGAACAATCCGGAGAGCTACCATGTTTTGTTTGATGTCATATTTCTAGGAGAGCGTTCCCTGACCCTAGGCGACCTGTGATTCGTTGATGCAGTCAAAAAACTCCTTGACGTGTATGACACGAGGTTAATTGGATTATCCGAACCGGATCCTTCACCTTCACCCCATCTGGCTGTGCTCTATTTGCAAAGTATCATCTTTCTCCGACTTTTTCCTTTATGGTTGGTCAGCGAGAGATTAAATGGAAAGAATCGTCGACTTTAGGGAATGCTTGTTTTGATTTGTTTGTTGGTAAACTTGCTTTTGTGACCGGTACAATGCAGTATTCTGTAATGCACTAATTGATTTGATTGCAGGATTTGGAAAGGAAGCACAATGTGGAGTTGGAAGAAATCCACGTTAAAATCCGAAAGGTAAGGGGTACAGCATGCTCGAAAAATTCTAATGCACATCGAAAATCTTTCGATGATTGTCATGGATGCCTTTTATAAGAAAATTTTTCGAGCATTTTATAAGAAAAGTAGATATTAATTCATTAGTTGTAATCTAGGGCCTATTACGCCATGAAAATCTCGTAAACCTTTGATAGAACTCTACTTTTATTTGAAAGTTACTGGAAATCCTTTTTTTCGTGGAAATCTCTTGCGCTGTCTCCAAGAATGAATGAATTGGCCCTCGGCTTTTATTATTTATCGGTTTTGATAAAGGCAATTGTTTGCCGGCCTATTGCAGAGTGTTCGATGACATATTTATTTATAGACATCTGGTAGCAAAGCTGTACACCCTTCTAGGGTATAGAAGAGGACGGGGCTTAGGGAGGTCTCAAACTGTTTGTTACAAGTAAACGATGTATCAAAACCGCCATATGAAACCGATTTTTATTCTTTGTCAGAATCTGCTTGCATCAATGTATCAATGTATTTGTATAATACACAAATTTAAACTAAAGATGAAAAAACTGAAAATATGTTATTACACGATCAGAAAAAACGATGTAAACTTAGGCGGGGCCACACAAAAAAATTGATAAAGCAAACAGTCCTTTTCGTTTAGCGCGTGCGATCGCACCCGAGGGTTGGTACCCCGGGGCGACTCGTTAAATGGAAAAGCCACTGAGGTAAACAAGTTGCTGAAGCAAATATGTATAAGCAAGAACTTGAAATTCATTGACAATTCGAATATAGATCCAAGCATACACCTTAATCGTAGCAGGCTACATCTAAATGACCGTGGAAACACGCTTTTAGCTAACAATTTTATTTATAATCTAGGATACTGACTAGAAATCGAGGGGGTAAAACCATACAAAGAGCTTCCCATCGGCATAGAACCTGGGAAGCCTGATCTATCCAGCGCCAGTATTTGTAACGCCCCAGCAGTTACTGCTGGAACTACTGCGCATGACCTACATGACACCACCGACGACAGTGATGCAAAATCAGCATTACATAATCTGCGTTTAAAGAACATAGGTCGTATGACTATCGGGTATCTAAATATAAATTCCATTAGAAATAAATTTGATGCACTAAAAGCGATAGTTTCACAGAATCTTGACATTCTAATGGTCGCCGAAACAAAAATTGATGATTCATTCCCAAAGGGACAATTCTATATTGAAGGTTATGCTGATCCACTACGGCTTGACAGAAATTGTGAGGGTGGCGGTCTGTTGGTCTATGTGAAAAGTGACATCACAATGAAGCAGTTAAAGTCATTTAAATTTGATCTTGACATTGAATGTATTTGTTTTGAAATCAATTTAAGGGGGAATAAGTGGGCTCTTTTCAGTGTTTACAGACCACCGTCCCAATCACAAGAACACTTTTTCGAAAATCTTGGCAAAGCAGTTGATCATTACAGTGAAAAATATGACAAATTTTTATTACTTGGGGATTTTAATACAGTAGAGACAGGTCAACAGATTCGTACTTTTATGAATAGTTATGACCTCAGAAATCTGGTGAAGGAGCCAACCTGTTTCAAGGCTGACAATCCACGGTGTATTGACCTAATCTTAACCAACAGATATAGGAGCTTCCAACATACCACCACTACCGAGACAGGTCTCTCTGACTTTCACAAAATGATAGTCACAGTTTTGAAAACGACGTACCAAAAGGCTGGACCTACTGTTATTAACTATAGAGAATATAAGAAATTTTCGGAGCAGACTTTCAAACGAGAACTTAAGGAAGAGTTGGCTAGCATTAAAACAACTGATTTAGACTACAGTTCTTTTCAAAATTGCTTTGAGAAGGTACTTGATAAGCATGCACCGATGAAGAAAAAATACGCAAGGGCCAATGATGGTCCCTTCATGAATCGAGTTCTTCGTAAAGCTACTATGCTGCGCTCTAGGTTGAAAAATAGATATAATAAAAGCCGCACAGCTGAACATTGGGAAGCGTTTCGTCGACAGCGTAATTTGTGTGTCAAATTATTTAGAACGGAAAAAAGAAATTTCTATAAAAATTTGAATACTTCTGATATTACAGACAACAAGAAATTTTGGAAAACTGTAAAACCTGTCCTTTCCGATAAAAGTCGATCGAACTCAAATATTACCCTTATCGATAATAATAGGATGATTTCCAATGATAAGGAAGTTGCAGAAGCCATGAACGATTATTTTATATCGATAACTGACTCATTAGGTCTGACAGGGAACAGGGAGGTTACCATAAGTACAGATGGTTTATCAGATCCTATAGAAAAGGCTATAATGAAATATTCAAAACACCCTAGCATTAGGAAAATTCGCAGTTTTGCTCGAATTAAAGGCTACTTTAAATTCCAAGAGGTTACTGTGGAACAGATACACTCTGAAATTGAGGGGCTTAATCCTAAAAAGGCAACAACCTTTGGAAATATACCCGCGAGAGTGCTGAAAAATAGCTCTGACATTTGTTCCGAATCGTTGCAGCTTATTTTCAATAACTGCATTCAAAATGGTGTCTTTCCTGACCTATTAAAACTAGCAGATGTCACTTCCCTCCACAAATCGGAGGAGAAAACCAATAAGAAAAATTACAGACCGGTTAGTGTATTACCAACTGTTTCAAAGGTTTTTGAGAGACTTATGGATAAACAGATTATTGATTATATGCAATCTTATTTATCGTCACTTTTATGTGGTTTTCGTAAAGGGTACAATGTGCAGCACGCATTAGTTCGAATGCTTGAAAAATGGAAAGCAAGCTTAGACAGGGGAGAAAATGTTGGCGCAATCCTTATGGATCTCTCGAAAGCCTTTGATTGTATTAAACATGACCTCCTTATAGCAAAACTAGATGCTTACGGATTCAGCCATGAAGCACTGTGTCTTGTTAACAGCTACTTGGAAAATAGGCATCAGAGAGTTAAGATTAATGGATCATTCAGTACCTACAAACAATTGCTCCTTGGTGTTCCGCAAGGATCAGTTCTTGGTCCCCTCTTCTTTAACATCTACATAAATGACTTACTTCTCTCCTTAATGGATACGGATATCTGCAATTACGCGGATGATACAACTCTATATGCGTGAGATAAAAATCTCAATAATGTAATTGCAAGGCTAGAGAATGACTCAAGTATAACTATCCAATGGTTCGCTGATAACTTTATGAAGTTGAATACAAACAAATGTCATTTACTTATTCTTGGCAAAAGTTCTAATCAACAGGTTAAAGTTAATGTAGGAGATTCTATCATAGAAAACTCGGAAGAGGAAAAGCTACTAGGTGTTGTGATAGACAAAAAACTCAGTTTTGAGACACATATCAGTAAGTTATGTAAGAAGGCTGGTAGCAAACTCACTGCCCTCGCTCGCATATCTGGATACATGGACGCTAATAAACTTAAAATCTTAATGAGAGCATTTGTAATTAGCCAATTCGAATACTGTCCACTAGTCTGGATGTTCCACAGTAGGCACTTGAATAGTAGGATTAATAGAATACACGAAAGAGCTCTGAGAATTGCATACAAAGACTATGATTCTAGCTTCAACACTCTGCTAGAAAATGATGGCTCGGTAAATATTCATGTAAAACACCTGCGAAATCTTATGATTGAAATGTTTAAAACAAAGGGAAATATCAACCCTCCTTTTATGAGGGAGATTTTCTGCGAGCGTCATGCTGTTTATAATTTGAGAAATAATAATGAATTTATGGCACCAAGAGTAAGAACAACCATTTATGGAACCGAAACTATCAAATATAGAGGGCAGCGTCTTTGGCTCTCTTTACCTCAGCACATAAGGAATGCTCAGTCTATTAATGAGTTTAAGAAAGAAATTAAAAGCTGGAATGGCACAGACTGTACATGCAAACTATGTAGGACGTTCGTGCCACAGCTTGGTTTTTTGTAATTCTATCTTTTAAATAGCTCAGGTTTTTATAGTTTTTTAATGGATCATTTTGTATTTAAAATTTTATGTATTTAATCTCGTATGTATTTAGTTGATGTAGTAGTTTTTAACAGTTGGCTTGGATTAGCTCATTTCTTTGTAAATAGCTATGTAGCGCCAACTTTAAATAAATTGATTATTATTATATTATTATTATACCCGCACACGCCTGCACACGCGCAAGTTAAATTGCGCGTGCTTTTGAAAAGCACGCGCAAACAGGTGTTTTAGCAGTTTTCTGTTAAAGGGCCTCTCCAGCCAAATTTTGCACTTGCATTTTATTGGCAATTTTTATAAAGAAGTTGAGCCTTGTGATCACGAATTCGTTATTTGTTTTTCGATATTTTTTTACAGTTTGTGAGATATAAGCTCTTGCATTTCGATAATTTAATTTAATTAACCGACAAAAATTTTTGGTTTGGTGACACTGTGACGCAATTTTGACGTCACAGTGTATTTCGGATAGTCTCGCCTCAAACCGAATCGAACGACGGCGATTCGCAAATTGAACACTGCAAGTGATGGTACTTTCAGTTCTGTTCCGCCAGCTTTTAGTTTGAGCATTTCAGACACCAATTCTGAAGCCTTTAGTTGTTCATCGTTTCTGGAGAACAACTGAAGTGACAATTTCGATTAATTATACGCGAGGGAAGAGCTGGAACAGGAACTGGAACTGGATGCAGTTATCAACGCGTGACCATGAGTCCTTCACGCTTCGGTGGAAGATATACGAAATTCATGGCGAACGAGAGCCGCACATTGTGACGTCAGAATGTCACCAAACTGATTCGGCTTTTGTCGTTTTTTTTTCTCGGAAAGGTGCAACTTTAAAGCCTTACAACTTCTAAACTAATTGGAATTTTTCAAAAACAATGACTTTGTCATAATACACGCACCAGATGCTAACTTTTAAGTCATTAAAAAAAATTTTTTTTTGCTGGAGAGGCCCTTTAACATCAATTTCCCATGGTCTCATGATTGTTTATCCTTTCCCTTGTTACTTGATTCGCACTTTTGACCACAATATGATTTTTCCAATTTTCGGAAGTGATGTTTGGCTTTTGACTGAGTGCTCAATTCAACTTAGCGTCTCGTCTTTCAGCTAAGTCGCCATTAGCATGTTAAGTGTAATAACTGATTTCCTGTCAAAACGTAATTAGGCCCTGAAAGCAAGTAGCTGTTGGAAACAATTTTTACTTGCTCTTGTAACTTTGGAGAGTTACGACGACTTCTAAAAGATGGCTGCTAAGGGCAACAAAATCTGTTATGTATTGATTAATTGAGTTTTGCTCTTGCACGTATTCGAATGGCTTTTTCCTTCTTGCTCCTTTTACCAATTTTATCAGGTTTGTACTTCAAATTTTCTTACAAGTGCGATCGCACGCGCAAATTTGTTTACATGTGCGATTTGCCACACACGCGTAATTTTGCTCACGAAAAGGACTGAGCAAAGGAAATTAAGTTATCCTGAATAGAGTACTTCACTCGTATCGAATGGCATACCATCAACAGAAACAGCTTTTTAATCTTTTCAGTAAAAAATTACAGATATTATCTTAGTCACAAGGATTGTCTGCATCCTTTTCTATGTGGTGTCCAACAATTTTCAATGACTGCACAATCAAAGTTCTTAGTTTCTAGTAGTTTGTAAATAGTAGGGTACGACTGCCTTAAGCTTAAGGACATGAGCAATATGGCCTTTTTGCTTATGAGTATGTTGGTGGTCGCCTCCAAATGTTGTTAGGATGGTTATAATTATCACTTATTTTTTCTTTTTTTGTTTATAATTAGGCTGAGCATAGAGCTGCCATTGCTGAGCACAATCTCGAAGAAGTCAGGCAGTCGTTACTTGAGGTATATACTATACTTTCTATTGTAATTTTCTGTTTTTTAAAACAAAAGTGTAGTCCGTTGTATGCCGTCATGATTTCTTGGAGGTATTTGATACATCTATAACCTTGTTTTAATATTGCTAATAAAATTCTACCCTTGTCAGCTACAAAAGTTTGAATCTAAAACTTTTGAGATTTATAATTTATGTTAATTTCAATAAGCTGAAACCTGTTGGCATAATGGTTCATGATCTGTTAACTGTGTGTGTTTAATAGCAAATGGAAGTGTAAAAAAGTAAAAAAGTCAATTGCAGTGTTCTAAATGTTTATGTTGAAAGAAGAAATTTTTTTTAAAGGAGGAGGAAAGACGACAAATTTTAGAAGAAGAACTTGAAAAAGCCAGGAATGAGATAGATTATATGAAAGAGGTATGCTTGGCAAATTATTTTATTTTACATCTAGCTTCATCTTTAAATATTATTTTTGCTGTTTCTGATTTTTCATTCGGCCTTTAATTTCGTTTTTATTTCCTTAAAGAGGATATCAAGTTTGTCGAGTCTCATGCGTTCTCTTCTTTTCTACACTACCTCTCATTGGCACTGACATCCTAATTGCTCACCCTGGGTCAGCTTTAATCTTCAGTTTAGCTTTACTGACCAGGCCCTGATATTCGAGGAAATCGGTCTATATCTGACTGTTTACGGTGTCAATAAACTTAATGGCTGCTCAAGAATTTCTTGCTGTTAGAGTTAGTAGGCGCCCGAAAATTCCATGCTCTCAATCCGAAAGACAGTGATGTTTTAAATTACGTGGTTTTTTAGGCGCCGCATTCCTCTATCAGTGTTTGCATTTTAATTATAAATTGCAATGCGACCTACTACGGTGGTTTTTAGAAAAATTAAAAATTTTCACTTTTTCAAATGAAGCACATTGGTTTGATAAAGATGCTTAGGTTTTTGTTGCTTTTTTTTCAAAACGCTAGTTCTTTTTAATCGATAAAACCAACTGTCGCACTTTGCGCGGGCATTGATGCTCTAACTGAAATCAAAATTTAACTAGGCGCGTTTTTATTTTATTTATTCTTAACAAATAAAATTTAGATACTTCTCTGTGACCATTATATTGAAATTTTTACATATTTTAACCTTGATCCTCAATATTAAAGGAAGGGGGGGGGGGGAGGCATGTTAATTTGGACAATCAGATCTCAATAGCAGAGGAAAACATAGAACTTAGTCCTTTCGAATTTGGGATTTTTTCAGTGTTGTATTATTTAGTGATCATTAGTGTCTTTTTGTGCAGTAGAAAGTTGTAGAAACATTGCTCAATTATCGTAATTGAACTAAAAAGCACTTTACAGCATATAAGATATCGTTTTGAACCATATCTTGACAATAGAACAAGTTCATACAAAAGCTATCGCTGGTTATCACTTAATGTATCTACTATTGATAACTCAGATTGCAAATTCTGTAAATGGAAAGGCCAGTTTATCAAGGCCAGAAAAGGATAACTGGATTAAAAAAAATTTCTTTCAGTCTATCAGCTGTTTCCAAATGTCTCTATTTCTTTTCTGCACAGTCACCGTTTTATCTACATAAGAGTCTGAAGAACGAGATAAAGAAACCTGTAAGAGTCACAACTTTCTTTGATTTCATAAACCAAGTCTTAGTCAAACTGGAAAAAGTGTTGCATTCTGGCAGCCACTGGTACATTCTGTTATAAGCCATGGTTAATATTTTTAATAAACCAGTCCTCGATTCAGTTCCTTCTTTATATTTAAAAGTTGCACTAAACTAAACCTGGGTAAATTGTTAAACCTGTACGCACTCTGAGATTCTGTCAAACCAAGTTTAAACATTCCGCTTTATCATCTCTCCATTTTCTCGTCTTATAATCGAAGTGTGCTTCATGATTGCATATTTTGTGATATTTTGATAAAAATCTTGGCTTATTCAACCTTTTTATTTTAGAAACACGAGAAGAAGAGCAGTGAAAAGATTGATACCCTAGAGAAGTCTTTGTCGAAGTTAACGACACAGTTGAGTTTCTCAGAGGAGAACCTTGACAAAGTTCAACGCGAAAGTGATAACAAGATTGAAGAGCTACAAATCGCGCTTGCAGAGAAAGAGAACGATTTTGAAAATCTGCAAAATGAAAATAGCGAACTCGTTTCATTGCAGAGACAAAATGCAGAAAAACTTAGCGAGCTTGAAGAATGTCTTGCTACTGCAAATAAGGATCAGGAAGGCAGGATTGAAGAGATACAGGAGCTCAAAGAAAGATGTAAATTGTTGGAAATGGAAGTAGAGAATTCCAGAGATGCCAAAATGCTGCTAGAAGACATTGAGAAAAAGAAGGAAGTTGCAGATTCTTCTAGTGTTGTAGAGGAAAGCTACGCTGCTGAAGTTATGGTTGCAAACTCACATGCGGAAAAGCTGCAAAAAGAACTTGATCGTTTGTCTGAAGAAATAGAGTTAAGGAACCAGTTTGCAAGTATAATTGTCGCTGAAAGAGACACGCTAAAAGAGCTTGTAGGAAGCCTGGAGGAGTCGTAAGTTTTCTAATCATATTTTGTATCTGTTCACTTCAAATGTAGGTTATGATAAAATGTTGAATTCATGTAGTACCGTCGTGACCATGTTTGGGATGTGTCCTAATCAACAGTAGAGCCTGAATTGCCGTCTCCTTATCAGTAGAACCATAGTATTTGATTTTCTGAAGATCGAAATTCATCATGGCTGTTTGTTTTGTAGCTGCGAGAGCCAAAATGAAAACTTTGAAAAGAGGGAAATTGAGTATGCAGTAAAGATGATGTCATACGAAAACAAGATTAAAGATCTTGAACAAACAGTGAGTTCACTGGTTCTCTTTCCACGTGATGTTCTGGCCTAGTTTTTTATATCTTATCGCTATCTTATCTTGTTTTGTTTGGTTTACTTCAATTATGGCGAACTATCTCTTGATTAAAATGGATCGCGTTACATTTAGCCAGGGAGGCATTTTGTGTAATTAACTGTGAACGCCCCAGCTTTTCAAGGTGATGTCTAAATTGTCCCGTTTTTGAACAAACTTTCTGGTTAATCAATTGACAACGAAACAGTATCATCGTTCCACGGCCTAATAGCGACGATAGCATTTCCCTCACAAGCGAACAAACTGACTCTTTTCCTTGCCGTGGGCCTTTTTTTACTAAAGGTGCCGAATATAGTGAAGTTTTATCTCTCTCGTCTTTTATGTAACTAATATTAAATTGCCAACGCCATTGCCTTATGTCACTAATAAATAGTGGTGTTTTGAGTATCGAATCGCTGATTCTACCTAGTGCCTTCCTTTGCTGTGTTCGACTTCCTTCCTTTGGCCTGATGATCACTAACAAATTTGCCATAACCTGAAATTTAGTATATGACTTTCATTGTCTGCAACATTTTTTAAAGGGCTGTAGCTTGGGTTTACGCACAGGAAAAGCAAGGCCGATGTTTCGCTCCTGCACCAAAACACCAAAACACGTATTTGTTTTTTGAAAGTATTGCTTGGCATTATAACAATGTTTTACAAAATGATAACAACGATGCTAGTAATTTTATCAGTGATTTATTTGCTCTGTCAATTTTTTGGACACAGGTACAAACGCAGATTGCTCAAAACGCTGTTATGAAACGCTATGTCGCTAAAAGCGCGGACCCTCCCGTTAGTATGCCTTTGAAAATGCTACTGCCCCTTTAATTCTTCTTTCAGTCAGTCTTTTAACCGGTAACGTGTAAGCAATTCAAACCTGTATTCGGAGTTTCTTTTTTTGCAGATTAATTCTTTGAAAGGGCTGCAACAAGAAAAGCCTAAACGGAAATTGTTTCCTGAAATTGAACAAGAAGTAGTAGTTGAAAGAACGGTTGAAGTTCAAAGTGAGGCTGTGGCTGAAAGCGCATACGGTGTGAATGATGTTGCAATGATGGACGAAACTTCTACAGAAATAAGAAAACCGTACGTCTTACCTCCTCGTGATTATGAGGTTGACCATACCGCTGAAGCTGAAAAACATACTGCTGTAGTGACTGCAAGCGTAGAGTCTGTGACAGAAGGACGAAGCAGAAAGGATAGCGACTCCAGCAGCTCCTGCAGCTCCAGTTCTGAGAAGGATGAACAGGAGACTATTCATACAAAAGAGGCGGAAGAAGACAAAGAGGCTGAGAAAATTGAAATCGAGGAAACTGTTTTGGCTGTTGCTAAAGGTGGATCAGAGGTACCTGAAGTGGACAAAGAGGCTGAGGGAATTGATAGTGAGGAAACTGTTCCTATAGACGATGCTGAAAAACAAATGGACGCCCCCGTCCCAATAGTTGTCAAAGATGTCTCTGAGCCTAACAATACTGACATTTCAGGAGGTCTTGATGATGGTGTGAACGAAATCAAGAGTATCGTGAACCCTGTGCAAAAGCCACCGAGAACGTACAGCGATGTTGCGCAGGTTGGCCAAGATATTCACTTGCGATCGTATTCTTTGAATGGTAAATTACAAGAAACAGTTGTTCCCGAACACGAGAAAGTGGATGAGTTCATAGATGTTAGCAAGAATATTAAAGTAAAACGCTCATCTAATTACAATGTCATTATACAGAGCAGTTTAGTTGAGGAGTTTGAGCAAAAGCCGTTTGATGAAGAAATATTAAAGGATTTGCCGGAGTCATCAGTTGACAGTGATAGTGAAATACTTGGGGGCACGAATCAAGGGGAAGGAGGGGCAGGGTCCAAGCCAAATATGGAAGGAACAGCATCTGATCAGCCAACTGTTGTTGCCGCTGTAGATACAGAGGTTGTTCGTTCTGAGAATATTGACAATGCAGACACTAGAGCGACCGAAGGAGTGCCTTCTCAGATTAATGAAGACGTGCAAAGCGTAGCTGAGCAGGACAGGTCGAGCTTCTTAGAGGCTTTTAGCAAGAACCCAGCATTTGGAAGCTGGTTCAACGGAGAATTCACGATTATAGAACAGGAGAAGAAAGATGAACAAGCGGACGAAATAGCCTCAAAGGTATTTTGTGTTTGGCTTAGCTCATTTTTTTAGACCCAAACTAACATATCACGACTCGATGAACACCCACACAGTTCCGACATATTTTCCTAACGATGCTGTACTGGGTGTGTTGCTTCTCTTTCAAAGTTTTCCGTCAAAATTGATTCTTGAACTGGCAAATTGAATCTGGTTTGTTATTTTTTCCACGACGACCTATTTGCCTTCCTCATTTTTTGTTTCTTCCTCGTTTTATGTTTCTTTTAAGATAGGCAGTGGCTAGGATATTGTTTTACCGTGCTTCTTGGTCAGTTCCCCAAAAATACGGAAATTGTTTGCTGTTTAATTTTCCAGGCCATAATGCATTCCTTTTTAATGTGGTTTTCTGTTGATCACTCAGCCGTCAATATCCACATCATTTTGGGCAACACTGATGACCAATGTTCTTCAATATCGCAATAAAAATGCAGAATTGCTGGCTTTTAGCAGTTGTCAAAGTCATTTAACAATCGTTTTATTACCTAATCAACTATTTGTTAATATTTTAATCGCTTATTGTGTTCTAATTGCAGCCTTGTTTTTAGATTTCCTGAAATAAGGCCCTACACTTGCAGAACGGGTACTCTTTCTTAATTCAGTCACTCAAAAGCGACATCCATCCTAAACTACAAAAAAAGGGGGCTGGTTGTTTTTGGGAAGCCTTTTTTTGAAGCTCTGCAAAGAGGCCTACAGAACTTTGATTTTGGTCTTTGTATTTCTTTTGTTTCATTATTGTTTCGTTTCATTTTGTTAGAGGTTGGCAACCTTAATTAAGTGTTTTGGGACAAGAAATTGCAAATTTAATAGCAATATAATAATCGGAGATATCAATTATTCATTCGAAAGGTTGTGGAAGGTAAAGAGAGGGCGTTGTCATCTTCGTCTTCATCGAGTGCAGGTTCAGAGCACACCAAGAACGAATTGAACACAAGCCTAAAGTTGGATGAGTCCTATCTGCAATCTTCACAAGTGCAGGCTGATTTAGACGAGACTGATTCGCCACTTAACAGACTCGAGTCGGTTGCTGTGGAGTCTCCTTTGGAAGAGCAGGCGAAAATGGATGAACTGACGCTAAACCAAGGTTCGAGCTCATTCAGTAACAATTTGCTGCTACACTTTGATCAGGCAATTTGTTAGCCAAGCTTTTAATTTTGCCAGGGTTGTCTCAATGTTCAACTTTAAAATATTGTTAACAAGGGGATTCATAAATGTTATTGATGCGTTTTCATCAGTAGCGGCGCCACGAGGGGGGACTGGGGGGACACGTCCCCCCCAGTTCTTGGTAGGATCAGTTTTGCATTTCGTCTAAATCTGATGAGAAAATGTTGGGGGAGGGGTCATATTTTGTCATATTCGTATATTTACAACATTTTTCTGTTGCAAACAAATGCAATTCTGCAGTAAATTGCCGCTGGAGGTGACTGAATCCCCTTCCCTGTATCTAGCAGCTGATAAAATTTCCAGGAGGAGAATCGATCAATTAAACCTACACGTACTTTCTACCTCGGGATTGTGGCATTTGTTTGCCAAGCTTTTCTCACTGTTCGTTATTGAACCGTCTCTTTCAGGTGCTCAGCGTCCTCTGTCGACAAACTTTGATGATTTGCCCGCAACTACTGTTTTGCCAAGTGGCGCCCAACGAGACAAATTGAAATTAGCCAGCGCTATTCCAAGGAAATCACCCAAGTCAAAACAAAAGGTAAGAACCACCTCAATATCTGTTGATAGCATCGTGACCATGGCTGGGTTGTTATTCCTCGATATTATCTATTTTATTACGGTTATTTGGTGAGCAAAGGTCTAACGAAGCGTTACCACAGCTCTAAATTGAAATCTAAGGCACAAATGAGATTTCTTTATATTGGATTGCCCCTCGTCATTTTCCTGAATTTCTGTCAATCGTTGACTATCAAATAAATTATTACGTTTTTAAACGAAAATGCATCGATGATTACAAGTTTAGCATCCTTTTTCTACGTTTGAAAGAAAAAGGCTTGTAAATTATTTAACAGTATTTTGTTTAATGTTTTTCAGACCAATCAGGAAGAGACGCCAGTCACGGAAAATCCTCCTGAGAGGCCACGAAACGCAGAACATGCTGCTCCTTATCAAGGTGCCGTCTCTGCATCGACAGAAAACCTGGCCATTGAAATTGATTACTCGAAAAAAGAGAAGCGCAAATCACACTTCAACTTTTTCCCAAAAGGAATGTTCGGCAAAAAGAAGAAGCATAAGAAAAGTATGGAAAACCTATTAGCACCAGAAGAAATGAACCCTGCCCATGCGAAGGACGTGCCACTGGAAAAAGAAAGGGGAGGGGAGCGAGATTCTGCGGATGTGGAGGAGGGTGTAGTGCCTCTTGACATGCATGCAAGCCTTGATGTTGGTAGGGTTTTCTATCGTATTTACTAATGAATTTTTATCTTTTCTTTGAATTTGTAGCATCACAGAAGCTAGATGTTTTATGAAATTCTTTGTGTGAAAGTCAGTACAATTTTCCATGCTCAAAGAGTTGCTCTCTCAAAGTTGATAAAATCTTTTGATGTCTGGTTTTTCTTTTACAGTTCGGATTAGCGCCGATTCAGGTGTAGACACACATGTCGTCAACGGAGTAAGTGCTATTGATAACATAACATGATCGTCGTTTTGTTTGGTTTAAAATCGATGCTTTTTTCATAATCCAACGTTTGAATTCCCTTTAACATTCTAATGGCATTCCTTTGAAGGTTTCCTCTGATGCATCTGACTCAGCTCCATCATCGACTCTGGCCTCGCCCGTAATTTCACATGCAATGGAGGATTCAAATGAAAACATTTCAGCTGGTAAAATTATTTTCTCGATGTTTTTTTTCTTTATTCTGAGTGTTAATCACCAAATTAGTGCAAGTTTTAAACTGAAATGATAATTTTCATTAACAATTATTTTTTCTTGTGATGTTTCATGCGCTATATATACAATTATAAAATGTGTCCGTTATTCCTCATCTACAGCAAAGGATCTTGAAGATGGGCCTAGAGATGAATCCTTAAACTGGGCTCAAAGACCAGTAATGGAGTGGGATGTTAGACAGGTGCGTTTTTCATGGAAATTTGTCAGCATAAACATTTTGTAATGAATCATCATCGTGATCAAACAGTGTCTTCGGTGTCGGCAATTTTGCAATCCACTTTTATGAATTTTTTAATTGACGAAAAATAATCGGAAAAATAGACCTGGTAAATAGTACATGGGTACTTTCTGTCACTGTTAAAATGGCCCAATGTTTAATCAGAACTCGATTAAATCTGGCTATTCACCAGTTTTAGTGAAGATGTTGATTGGAAAATGTAACTTCAAGTATGGCTGTTTTTGTAATTCTTGTTGAATTCAGCCAACCGTGCTCCCTGTGTTATGTCATCAAATTTTCGTCATCTTTGAAATTTTTAAAAGTTATGTTCATGAAATTGTGTGCACAGAAGATCGGCTTCTTGTTTGTGATAGGTTGGGCTTTGGCTGATCAGAATGGGAATGGAAGAGTACTCAAAAGCATTCCAAGAAAAGAACATCGATGGTCAAGAATTGCTTGGTTTGAATGGCGCAAGGCTAAAGGTAAGAATTTTTAGAAAAGGGAATTCTTTGTATATACGTAATAGAATAAGAGGAAAACTTTTTGCAAAATTAACTTTTTTCAGTTTGAACAAACGAGGTATGGTTTTAACACATTCATAGAGCTCAGAGTTATATTCTGTATTCTAGAAAGTAACCTTTGAAGTTACAGAAAGTAACCTTTGAAGTTACAGAAAGTAACTTTTGAAGTTACAGAAAGTAACCTTTGAAGTTACTGAAAGTAACTGTTGAAGTCACAGAAAGTAACCTTTGAAGGAAAATTTCATTTAAAGGAAACAGGAGCACTTCTTTTTTGGTAATTTTCTGTTGAATAATTATAGACTAGGCCCAACTTGGCTTATATAGTTAAAAGCAAGCCTATTCTAACCAATATATTTATTTCACGATCGTCATCAACATTGTTGCCATTACTTTCTGCATGTGAGTATATCATTTTTCATAAGTTCCTACAACATTGCAACAGATTTGTTTGCTGTTTCCTTTCGTCGTTCGTCCATTCTTGAAATGAATTTACTTTGTTTTAAAAAATCAGGCCAGATCTGTTTTACTGATTTAAGCAGAAGTTTCTGAAAACGCCGATCACAAAAACATAAGTCAGCTGTAGGTCTTGTTGCTAAAAGACAGGAGTTGTTGCGCTTAAGTCTGCTGTAAAGGAATGTAAGTTATGTAATTGCAGGGGTTGGCGGAGCGAGCAATGAACTAGTCGTCGTGTAGCAACGTGCACTTGAACCAGGCTTTGAGTTCATGTCCGAGGAAAGATGAATTACCTCTGACAGCACTCAAGCAACTAGTTTTGTTACCGCCGTGAATGCCTTTAATAATCATGACCCACTTAAGTGCTGTTTGTTATGCTTTGATCATCTCACGATCTGTGTCATTGTTTTCAAGGATCTTGGCGTACTGAACGGAAATCATAGAGATCTGATTAAGAGAAAAATCAAGGAATTTAAAGCTAACAGCGATGGAAAACAGAGGGACTCTAAAAAGGAGGGCAAATCAAAGGACAAATTTAGCAAAAAAATATTTTGGAAGGGGAAGTATACAGTTAATGAGTAGCGTCGAATTTATAAAATAATTGTCCATAGGAACGGTTTGCTAGATGTAAATGTTTGTTGTTTGTCGAATTTATTGACAGCTTGCTTGGAATTAAAATGTAAAAAGTCATTGCTTGAATTTAACCCAGATAATGGGACTTGAAGGAAATTTCTTTGCACGATTGGCAAAAGTATTGAAACGGCGTATAAGCAAATGAGAATCAACTTAATGAATTGTCTACTTTTGTAAACAGGTAACAGCGATTTCAATTAAGGCAAATGTCGATGTATGATCAATTTGAGACACCCTTTCAGCCAAATTGATCCAACTTGCTTTTCTAATTTACACTTGCATAGCAATTTCTGGAGTATTACAAGCTGTATCATTTTGTATTATTCAGCCGGAAAACTTTGGAGCCCTACTAAAATAGTCATTTCGTTTTCTAAAGTTGCTGAATATTTGTCAGACACTTCTATTTCAAGTTTCCAAAACCTCGTTAGTTACTTTCAGATCTTTTGAGGGAATTTTTAGTCAGCATTGAATGATGTGCTGTGATCCTTTAAGGCAAATTGTGCTGTGTTGTAATGCCCGCATAATTGCAAAATCATTGCAGCTCAAAACGATAACTTTTCGAAGCACCCTTTTGATGTAAATTTAATAAAAAACTATTGGATATTCAGATAATCAGGTTTCCAGTCGGATAAATGTATTTTCGTATCGAGACAATATGTTCGATTTTTAAACGATGATTTGTAGAGATATTTTAATTTTTCGATAATTTTTTGATGCTGCGAGTATTTGTCGTTGAAAAGACCACAGAACTGAGTAAGATTTTGAAATAATGTTGAAATGTTTCATTTGCTTTGAAGTGCAGCAGTTTTTGTATTATGACGTTGCAGGAGTTCGCAACTCGAACCCAGATTACTTAGTTTTGATAGTTACTCGTTAACAAAACATGTCAATTCTGTGGCTTTTTGACGGCACTTCAGCAAGACTGTTTCATAAAGGAATTTGATATGTATGTCATTATGGGTATTTTACCAGCATTAGTTGGATCATTTATAGCTTCATTCAAGGTATTGTGTAATATTCAAGATTTTCAGTGATAAAAAGATATGCTATTATTTATTTGCTTTTTTGAGCTATCATCTGTGTAATGATTACCGCTGAAGAACCAATATTCCAATAACATGTAATTTTAAAAATACATTTATTTATATATATATGTATGTATGAATTTACTTTACATTTCAACGGCATTGGGTGAACAGCTGCACAAGGTCGATGTCGTTATTAAATCGCGGGGCCGAGCCCGCGCAGGCTTCCTCCCGAAACAATGTAGGCCCGCTTGCACAGGAACGGATCCAACAGACGACACAAGCCTCTGCATTTACAAGGGTTCGCTTGGATCTGTACCCCTAAGTGCGCCGTATAATAATTGGGAATGGATCAGATGGACACGATAGTTCAACGAAAACGAGGCATATTATTTGACATTAAGAAGCATTCTCAATGTGGCACTTTTGTTCTGTAAATTTAAAGCTGACAGCAAATCTCACAAAATGTAATTCAAATCAGGATAAATGAAATATTTTGGAGCTTGCTTGAACGGTAATTATATTCTTACCATCATTGCAAAGTAGCTTCTACCTACGCTTTGCACTTGCGCGTCAAAATTTAGTATGCTATTTGCGCATGCACCAAACAATGTCACAAAATAGGATCGGTTCCCGTGTCAATGTAACATAGTTGTACCCAAAAAGTACCGACTTATTTGGATCTGTACATTTTACTCTTGTTTAAACGGGGCCATAATCTTTTGTATGCGTCAAAGAAGGAAAGTATTAGAAAAGCAAATTTACAAATGGCGTTTGTGTAAAGTATCTTGTGTTCTGAGAATTAGTTCAGCCGCTTTTCTTCTTTCCCTTCCCAACCTTTGCCTTCTTTGCTTTCTTCATGTTCTTTTTCTTTCCTTTTCTCTTTTCTTTCTTGCTTTTGTGATATTTTGTTGATTTTCCGGGTGGCGTTTGAGCCTGGCTAGGGTTTTCCTGATCATCTTGAGTTGGTGGTGGGGCTGGCGTAGGAGGCTGTTTAGGTGGGGTTGGGGGCTGTTTTGGAGGATTGTCTGGCTCCGGGTTTGGTGCTTCCGTTTCCGGTGGGCTTGGGGTGGTTTCTGGGGCCGGCGGTGGTGGTGGTGGAGTTTCGGGAGCTGGAGGAGGTGGTGCTGGAGTAGTAGTGTATTGAACTGGGAGTGGAGGGGGTGTTGTCTCGTATTGTGGATAAGGCGCTGGCCCTTGTGCTACCGGCGCTGCGTCTCTTGGGGCACAGCAAATGAAGTTGTCGTCGTCTGGGCATGTGCCATCGACCTCATCGAAGCCTTCACCGGTGCTCTCACACGACTGTCGAATTCCAATGCAAAATGTTCGTGGTCCTGCACAGTTCGTCCTGCAACATCGTCGTGATCCGCATACACCACCGTCTTCAACGTCTTCTGTTCCGGTGTTGCAGTTAGTTGAACATCCAGATATGGCTCCAAAACGGTCGCATGTTCTGGATGCAACGAAACCTGTCGTCGAATGACAGTGGATGTTTCATTGTGTATAAGGTACTGATGAAATCTGCTTTGAAAATGTAGTTGCTAATAATGAATCGACCTTTCTTCTTTTAAGAAAGAAATATATGAGCTCAAGGTTCTTACAAATTGAGCACAATATTTTACCTACGTATCAAATCAACGGATAGATGAACACGTCCTTGTACACAATCATACTGTTTCGTTAATTGAGAGGTTTCATAATGGAATCGAATTGCTTTGAAAAGGCCGCACCATTTTGGCGTCACTTTTAGTTTCTTATTCTACTATCAATCACATGACTCCAATCAACACACCTGTCTAATCAACCATTTATGCATAACTTTTAGTGTGTCTAAATAGCTACTTGAATATCCCTCATTTACCCTGCCGCACGTGCATGCAAGTCTCCGGCCCACATACGGAGAATCAAATTGTGAAAGGCAAAAAGCCTGAATGTACTTCAATTATACAGCTTCTTTTGCGCTGATTGGAGGGGGGGGGGGGTGGAGTGAAATGGGATAAAAAATGAATAACTCCCAGTCGAGGTTGTATGGGAATTCAATAAGCAAGAAACGACAGATACATTGCTGATTTCTTCAAAATACGTCCAACCGATCATTGATGTTCACTAAGTCATGTTTCGTAATCAAACATTTACGAGGGATAAAATTCAAGATGCAGTGCACCAATCAAGCCTTATTGAAGAGGTAAACTTGCTCATTTGTCTAGACTTCTTCAAGAGTATCTTCCTACGGTATAACGAACTCCCGCTATTACGAACTTATTATGAACCGAAAGAGTTGAAAGCAAAGTTTTTACGATTAATAAAATTCGCCTTTAGACTCAAATAATTCCATTGTTGCTGACTCTTCACTCGTCAGGAAATAGGCAAGACAACTTTCGCTCTTTGATCTGTGTAATGAAAATCAAACATTATGGAGCACTGATGGAGCCAGGACTCTTCTTAAGGAATGCAAAATTGAAAAGTTTGCGTTAGACATGGAAATATGAATTGGGTTAAATAAACTCACCGACGCACAATGTAAGTGCTAGCACTTGAGCAAGATAGGTATTCATTTTTGGACTCTGAAAGAAAATGAAAGTTTTTTGAAGCTGAAACAATGTAAGCAACTGGAAATCCGAAAAGACCATACTTAAGGATATCTGTTTGTTTCCTACAATTGTCTTTATTTTCCAATGTTTCTGGGTTTTTTCAAGTATCACAAGAATTGTGGTAAAAATTGTGCTTATAATATTTAAGGAGACATGCCCATTGAGCGTAGGATCTAAACAAAAGTGTTGGAATTGGTCCGACTATCACGTAAAATTGAAATATAACGATAAGATAAAAGTTTATTCTATGTTGCCAAGAAGGAATTATTACAATCAATTATTCCTGGCAAGAGCCGAAAGGAGATGGTGTAAAAAGCTTACAAATTAATAGTGACAGGTTTATTCATTTGTTTACAAACATATCACTGCTCTTTAAGAGAAAAAATACTCACATTTCTGCAATTGAATTTCCGTGGTTTCTTTTCCGCTACAGACTTTTCATTACTGTGTATACCGCGTGATTTGATGTCCTTTTTGCCAAAACTAGCCTAACAGTTTTCAATAATATTGTCAATGAATTTGAAATGATTCGAATTTCTGCAACAGGTAAACCCACACGCTTCAACGGGTTGTGCGGCCTAAGCCAGATTGGAAGCCAAAAAACCAGTTTTAAGTGGCGATTCTGCTAAAACACCCATTTGTATCAAACAATATTATAAAACACGAGTATCCTAAAAAAATTTGAACGAATATTAGTGTAACATTTGCCTCAAATTTAACAAACTTCTTCAATTTTTTTACGTTTCTTCCAGCAATTAAGGGTTAGCTGCAAGCATTTAAACCGGAGTAAACAGGATAGTCCTTGCTACGGGTACCCTCTGCTTGTAGTCAGGAACACCAGAGAAGGGGGGGGGGTCAACTGCCCCTGTTGCATAAGTGCCTAACCAGATACCAGATAGGTTAATGTAGTGTAACTAGTGTTTTGTAGAGTTATCTAATGTAGAGTTACTTTGCATGCAAATTATATATATTTAAATTGTATTTGGCAATGGTTTATGATAAAATAAAATGAAATGTAAGATGAATGTTATCGAGGCTACCGACGCTTTTCATTGGTGTTGTTGTTGCTGTTGTTGTTGTTGTTGTTGTTGCAATTGTTGTTTTTCCGCCCGCTTGCTTCAAATTCAAATAGACGCAGTCATGCCGAAAATGCTATCTGAAACGCACTGCCTCGAGAACAAGAGTGAGTGGCCAGAGAACAGATTCGGTTCTGTTAGGTAAGGTACATTTTCTGCAGTCTTATTTATGTTAATAATTTATATAATATGTCGTCCATAAGCGCCCACTTTCAGGGCTCATTAAAAATATTTTGTGCCTGCGAGCGGAAAGCTGAGTAAAAAATGTGCCTGCAAGTAAAATAGGGTGCAACGTATGGTCAGGTATTGATAAATTGCGAATCTTCCTCTCTACTGAGTCCCACTCGGTAATGTTACACCAACTTAAATCAATGCCACCGAGTTTTTTCTTACTCAAACGCTTGAAAATTCTTGTTTTTCACCAATGGAATTTCAAAAAAGCAAGAAACATATTCCTTGATATTATCCTAGTTTTTCTTTACATGCAATACATATCAGTTTCCAGCTTATTGTTTTCCTTTGTCATCAACAAATTAGATATCCAGCTCATCTTTACCTCTTACCCTTTCACCCTCTACATCCAAGAAACTTTAGATCCATATGGCCTGAAATAATGCTTCTACTGGCTCTTTACTGTTTTCTGAGATTTATTGTTAATTTGTAATTATTTTAACTTATAGGTATAGTAATTGTGTTGGCGATGGGCCATTTTTGCCTCCAAGCCTTATTGTAAAAAAAAATAATTCCCATCATTTATTTCTTTCTAACATCCGAGCGGTTCCAGTTGGACACCTCAATTTTGAACTCAAGCTCGATCAGAATCTCTAATCCCCTTATTATTGTGATTACCGATCACAATAAGCCCCCGAAAGCCACACCCCTAACTGCATGTAAAACTTAATAAATAATAATTTCTGTGAGTGATATAAACTGATTCGAGGGGGGCTTATTTGAGCATGGGGGCTTATTGGAGAGAGGGGGCTTATTTGAGCATAGGGGCTTATTCGAGGATTCATGGTATTGGTATACCTTGTATTAGAGGTGTACCTTATAATTTTGCTCTACATGCCAACGCTGCCTTTTACTTTCTTTCCCTTACTCCCACAAACGCGTTAATTGCTAGATGCTATACTCGACACCTTTAGCTTAAAGGAGCGCGAGGGGTGTGTCACCTTTTCCAAGAAGTTTCTAGGATTTTGAGCAGAATTTTTTGAAGTTTTTTTCTTGAAAACAAAGGGGTTTTGCCAAAGGTGTATGAGATTTTCAAGAAGTGATATGCCCCTTGAAGGCATACGTTATGTTCGGAAATAGAAAGATCAGATAACTGTGAGTGGTCTCTTTCAGCAAGAGAAAATAGAAAGAAAGGGACAGATAGACAATAGGATATGCAAACTTGTGCAATTAGAGTTATGATTTTCGGTAAAAAAGACTTAAAACTTTATTCTTTGAAAGTCTATTTGACCTTTTAATCGATACCAAGAAAGATGTTAAGAAAAAGCATGATTGTAAATTAAAAAAGGTGAATAAAATTCGATTCAGAAAAGTGCCTGCAGAAATGGGAGCATGAACTTTTGTGCCTGGAAGCCTAAATGCTGGACATAATTCCCAAACCAGGCCATGTGTTGCCATTTAGCAGATCTTGCATCAGGCTAAAGAGTTTGTATGCACAAATGCCCTAATTTTGTGGTGCTGACTACACCCTCACATGTAACATGCAAGAGGGACTAACCCTAATTTGGGCAATATCTGACATTTTGGGGAAAAGTAAAACGTTTTCTTTTCTGCAAGAAAGCAACTAAGGAAATATTCCGAATTTTATTTCAAGTTAATCTAAAAGTTCTGGCCACAAATATTTTGGCTCACTTTGCTCACAGAGGAGCTGTTTCTGTCCCTATTTGGAGCTTTCTCAGTTCCTCTCATTTTTACATTTTTTTAAGTCTTATATTGAAAAGATCTTCACATTCTTTAGACAATCCCTGTAAAATAGAATGTTACTAAAGTGCTGAAATGCTTGAATTCTTAAAAATATAGAAACTGAACTGCTTGTCAAGTCTACCATTTCTACCATTTCTTACATACACCTTACCATTTCTATCATTTCATACACCTTACCATTTCTTGATTCTTAAATATATGATTTTGATATTGGTGTTATTTCGAATTCCAAAAGTTTTTAATGAGCATTTCCAAAGTAATTGAGCAGGTATTAGTGAGGGGTTTAGTAAGAGGTCAGGATGGGGACTGATAGAACAATTTTACTTTAACTTTCTAAGATTTAAATAGGGTTCAAATTATTAACAGAAATTTTCAAAACATATATTTTGTGAGCATCCTGATTTTCTTTGCCTTTAGTATGCCAAGCATGGTAAATAACTTCAATCTTAGATGCATTAAAACATTTGTTAAATAAAAAAAATGGTTATTTTGTCCATAGATCTCTCGAATGCAACTTTCCAACTTTGTTTTCATAAAGGATTTGGAAAACATTTCTGATTGGTGTAATCCACAAAATATTTTAGTGATTCTGAGACTTGATTACGAGACTTCAAGTGCCAACGATTCTTGATTAAGTAAACAGCCAAGAACTCAGTCTTTACAGACCTATTGTTTGCCTGTAGAATATTGCTATTTTCCCAAAATCATAAACCAGATATTAGTACATAAACTGACAAAAACATTAATGATATTTATTTCATCTTTTGGAAGTAGCTGTATTTTACAAAGGTTGATATAATTGTCTGAATGATGAAAGAAAAAATCAAATTTTCCTTTCATTAACACCTACCATACCTATAGTAGGAACAAACTAGTTGTTTCAACTAAGAGAAAAGCAGTTTATAATTTTTCCTTATTATCATTTTTGTTGTATTGCAGTTATTTTATGGATTGGTTTCATTTTAAATGGCACATTACCAGAAGTTAACAAGTAATTGTTTTTAATTGCAAATCAATTATTTCAAACAATTATTGACAACTCTTGCTCAAATTTCCACTGTTTGAGGTTCAAAGATAGACAAATCAGGATAAACTGGGCATTTTTTTAATTTCTGAATGCCCAAAAGCCCACCCCTCAATGCCCAAAGCTCACCAAAAACTGAGCACCCCTCAAATTTTTATCTCCATCATTTTAGCAGTTAACTGAATGGGAAGCAAAGCAATGGGCAGCCCCCAATATGAATTTTGTTCTGATGGCACTGGAAATGTGCCGTTTTTAGAAAATCATTCCTATTAATCCTTTCCAGTGCTACACATCCAAATAATGCAGTTTTTCTAGAGCAAGTTGTTAAAAGAGGATATTTGCAGGATTTTTTGCAAGTAAAGGTTAGCCAATGTGATTTAAAATACAACCAGTTAACAAAAAAAAACTTTTTTGTATGTCAGCAAGTCTTTGCTTTAAGTTTTAGTTAACTTTGTGTGAGACTCTTTTAGGTAAAGGTTGATAAGATGATTCTATAAAAAAGCCTAGTAACCACCTTTGAAATGGAATTAAAAAATGTAGCTTTTAATCATAAGCGTTTTCTTATATGAAAGCTCTAAATGTCTACAAATCACCTCCCTTTTCATATAATTTTACTGTTGGCTTTTGAACTATTTTGGCCATAAAAACTGGGGAATTTTTTTGGAGGGCATCTCCAGATTCCTTGGGATCTATGTTTTTGTAGATAGTCTGGCAAAAAACACTGAAAAATTCAAAAGGGTTTTTTGTCAGAATCTTGATGTGTGCTGATTGGCAAGCACTGTTGGGAGAAAATAAAATGGTGTGACCAATGAATATTTGACTGTCATTTTTCCGATAAAGACGAAAAGTAATGCCACATGTTAAAGGCTAGAGTTTTTACCTTTTTCAAGCTGGTAACATGCCACCAAGTCTGTGCCAAGACTTTTGAATTTTCAGAATGCAAACAAGGACTCTTCAATATATGTGCAATGATAATATTTTTTAGGATGTTAATTGCTTGCTAACAAACTATCGCTATAAATGTAAAGTCAATGTCATGTTTGTATAAAATATTACCTGTTACAAAATTCTAATAATTTACAGTTGACTCCATTTATAGTCACACCAATTGTTGCTTGAAAAGTTTGGAGAGTAACAGGGGTAGACAATTCGGCCTTTCCCACACCTGGCACGGCTGTTTTTTATAAGCAGGAGACCGCTTATTGTAACTCAGGGCAACGGCCAGGCAACCAAATTTTTACTTTAAGCTGAAATGAATTGAACAGTTTTTTCATGTTTAGGCCTAAGTTTGATGTTACTGTAGCCAGCAGTGTGACTTTAAGCAGAGTCAACTGTACTTAAATGCTTCTTTTCAGCAAGTGGCTTTCAAAAGCAAGTTGGTGTCAATTTTTGCCTCGACTGCTTCTTTATAAGAAACATGAATTGCATACAAAATAGTCAATTTTACAAAAGATGACAACTTGCCAGTCTTATAGGTTCAACAAGGCTAATCAAGGCTGTTTGGTCGTTGGCTGATTTCGGTTAAACTATTTAGCAATATTTGCGTCTTTACTTGGTTAATTTTGTAGCCATAATGAGTTCCATCAAAACTGTCTACTCCTCTTGTGAAATTGAATGTATCCATCACCAAGATATCGTTTTTCTTACAATATTCACTCATTATATTGTTAAATATTTTAATTCTTGTATTCCCTTGAATCTCCCTGAATTGATTGGGTTTCAGTGGTCCAGATGAGTGTGTATTGAGCCACAACAATTCTGTTTTGCTGTTTGATTTGTTTTTCATTTCAATTATTGGTTTCAAGTATTCTCCAATAACTCTCGAGTAATTGAAATTTTCATGTACCCCTATCCCTATAACTACAAGCGGCCGCTTCTCTTCAAGTCTAGTTTTTAATTCTTGTTTTGCTTTATGCAATTGCTTTATATTGTATGCTTCAATAAAACCTATTCTTGGCCTGTGTCCCTCAGGCATGCCAACACAGTAATTGCCATTTTTTTCAACATCATCCCATGTCATTGACAACCATTTATGGCATGCACTATCCACAAACTGGTTTTCTCCAGCACAAATTTCTTTATCAACTTGACTTGTTACAGTTTTTAAAGCACCTTTTTCTGGATCAGCTGTCATTAATATAAGTAATGAAGAAAAAAGATGGCGGACTAAGGAATCACCAATAAAAGTAACTGAGGTGAAATGTTTTTGTAATTCATGGCAAGCTTCGATCGTGTCTACATTTCTCATATTACAGCCACTATCAGTCTCCCATACAGCAAGCTCTGCAGGTATGTACTGCCTGTAATCAATGCAACTTTCACACTCACAAAATGTCTTTCCATTGCCACACCACCCTACGTCATCTCTGCAACAAGGTGAGTCACTAACTGTGTCGCATTGTGAAGGTATGTCTAGGTAATATCCTTCTGTCCTGTTTGTGTATGTCACTCTTGGTAAAGGAAACTTTGTCCCACATCGAAGATCCCCATGATACAATAAAGGAGGCCACCCTTTCTTTGTTCGCATTTGCATGTCTGTTCGTCGATGAAAAAGAAAGTCTTTAAAAGTTACATCCTCCTTTAGTCTCCATTGACCTTGTAATAATGTCTGGAGCATATTTTTGCAGTTTGGTTGTTCTTGATGGCTTGTATCAAATACAGGCTTTGGGGGTTTAGCTAGGAGGTTGTTGGGGTAATCCGGCACCAAACTGTTAAGAATTCGGTGTATATAGACGAGTATTATAATGACTACAGTGATGCTTAGCCATGCTAGCTGTCTCATTGAGTGGTTGTTCTGTCAAGAAGAGACGTAATAAATGTCATAGAGTAAAATAATACTCATTTTAAATACAAGCCAAATTTTTTATAGATAATAAGTTTTGATTGAATGAATTTATGTTTTTATTTAAGTTTTTCACTTGATACTTATCTGAGCATAAATTATCAGAAAGTGGATCAAGCTTTGAAATGTATATACCCAGTTGTGGATCGAAATAGGCCAATCAGAAAACGCGAACACATGGCTGTTGAGATTGCCTTTTTTTGCTGCAAACTACACGAGGATTAACAGCAAGGAAGCATTTTGTAATAATGGCTCATTTGATCGGGCTTTCAAAACTCAAAGAATGTTCCGACCCATGGTTGTTTCAGATAAACCGAGCTCTTTTCCGAACCAAATTTTATTTCAGCCGAAAAGCTTACAAATTTCTCCTTATTATAAGTAGCAATGACATCCTCTGGATTGCTGTTCTCCAGAAAGATCTTTTTAGTTGGTAAAGTTCCGAGTTGAGTTTTGGCTTTGCACAAGTCTTTTGTGTCCTATGAGCTAGCATTTTGATAAGGTTGATTTTTTTATTCCTCCTAGCTTAGGGTTTCTGATTTATGTTCTGACGCTTTATACTTTGAAGATTGTTAGACGAAAGGGCTTTTTATTTTGTACCACCAAGATTGTTTTTCTTTCTACCACAAATGTCCTTGGCTTGCATTTCTTTATTGATTTAATTGAAGTAAGGATCTTATTTGTTGTTTGCATTAACATTTTGATCGATACTAAGGTAAAGTTCTTGAAGTAAAGGAGAGTATACTAGATTGAAAAAGTATCATCAATTATAGTTTCATACCTTGAAAAAATATATCTAAAATGGTTTTTAAGTATTTATATGAACCAATTGGTCAATTCCCGATACTTTTGAACTGTGAACGTAGTATACATGAAGGACTGTAGACTCTTACTGTCCGCAGTGAGGAACTTTTTGCTACTAATTGTGCTTAAACTTTGTAGGCCTAACTTTAAGTTTTGAGTAAATTTTCAAAAAACATTCATGATCACAATGAATCAGGATCATGAAATAAACAATCTTATAGAAAATATTATGATAAAATGTTTAGTACTGAACAAGAATGGTACCCCTTTTGAACAATGTTTATGTACAATATGCAGACATAATACATCGAAAAGAGCTGTCGTTTTATTCATTTCCACACATCGATTTTCGTTAGTTGAATTGATCAGGTGTTTTTGCAAATCGCCAACAGAAATTTTGATTGAACAAAACATTTCATGTTCTGATTCTGCAAGGAATGAATCAGTCTCGTGATTTTGCATGTTGATAAAAGAAATGCTGTTTTACTGTTTGATTTTTCTTGAAGTCGTTTATTTGTAAGGACGTATATTCAAGATGTTATTTGCTTTGTATATAAAGAATGAACATATGAAGCAAGGCATCAAATAAGATTCGAATAAGGTGCAAACTCACTGTCAACCAAACTCCTGTTGAGTCAGGCTACTGCTTCAAATTTTGATATCATTTAAGCGGCGGCTTGTAAACATTAAGTATAAAAGATAACTTCTCTTTGCTGTTGTGCGACGGTTGTGTTAAGTCGAGCGTGTGATCTTCAAAGTCCTACGGGTCGAGAAGCAATGGCAACAGCAGACACAAGTACCTGCACACGTTTACTGTTTTTCAAAGAACATTTTGATTGTTCGAGTAAGTCTTATCACTTCCATGTCTGTGTTTACTGACTGGAAACTTGCCCTGGAAGTAACGTAAGACCTCATCATAATTTATTATTGTTTCATGGTACCTTGACTTAAATATTTGATTGGCTGTGTGCTCTGGATAATGTAATGCTGATCTGCGAAGCCTTTTTATCCCAGAAATTTCCATGTGCTCATTTTAGGGTGGGAGGAAGGGTGGGGGAGGTCTGGGTGCAAGAAGCAGTAATATTATGATTTTGAAGGATCAAATCCCGATTAAAATATGTTGTTTGTTGTCCTTTAAATTCCTTCACATGTTTCTTTCGGAGCGGGCTAGTAACCAACCGTTAAGTATCATTGTTAGTTTGGTTGTTGCTGACTTGATAGAAAGCAAGCTTTTTTATGAATCATCGCAATAATGAAATTGCTGTGAAGGAGACAGTGCCTGGTGATGTCATGATGTTTTTCTAGGCTCTTTTGCAGCCTCGTTAAGGTTCGCCTCCTTCGATGCTTCCCCTCATTTGATTAGGAGGCAGTTTTGTTGTTTCAATATTCATCTTATCATACCGTCTTGTGTCATATGCGCAAGTGCGTCATGCCAAAGGCAGAGCTTTCGTTACAATTTCTAGCAAAGTAGTATTGATTGGCCTGTCAGCTAGCTGTTCACCTGTAATTTGATATCTGTGAATTGATCATCACAACGTTACGAAAGCATCAAGCTATCGGTTAGCAAAGATTTGTGAAAATTAAGCTATTTTACACTTTGTGAATGAGGAAAGAAGTTATGTGGTGACCAGACAACGTTTATTGATAAGATAAGATATAAACCTTATGGTAGCACTCAAATTTGTAAAAACAGACGTATTTTGGCTAGTAGTGCGATAGGGTTAACCTATCAATTGTGCATCTAGAGTGATATCCTAGAATTCTTAATAAAAACACTAAAACAAGATATGAACGGTTAAGAAAAGTTATCGGATTAATAAATGGGAAATCTAGGAGATATCTAGCATGTTTTCATCAAGTAAAAATGTGTTTTTGGCACATTTTTTTGCAGCAAATCAATTTTATCATGACACAGATTTATAATGACATATCTTCTGGAGGGTGCTTTCAACTATCGCAAATAATTTTTACAGTTTGCACGCCAGCTGCTTTTTCAAGGCGATGTAAGTTCCTGAAAAACTTAAATTCTGTAGTAAACGTTAGATATAATTTTCTTCAAGAGGGTTTTTAGTGAAAATTGGAAAGAGAAAGAACCAGTTTTTTGTAGCACGAAGAAGTAGTGGAAACAGAAATCCCAAAAAAACAAATGGTTTACTATAGAAGGTGAACGTAATATTGAGAACAATTGGAAAATCAAATTAGATATAAGCAAGTTATGTGACAGTTGAAGAGTGGCTTTGGGAAGTTCAATTGGAAAAGAGAGAGCCCAGTAACTTAGCAAGTCTGGGAAAGTTGTAGAATCGTTATTCCACATTCGTCATGCTGTAAGGAGAGCTTGGACTTGCTACAAGTCTCTCTCGTTCCCTCCCATTTTTTATTTTTTCCCTTTCTTTAAAGAGAGAGACTTGCAGCAAGTCCAAGGAGAGCTAAGCTCGTTCACCCTAGAGATTATTATTCACGTGGTTAAACGATGCACATACGGTTGCCATGGCAAGAAAGGCACTTGCGCGTGGTGGAGCATGAAATCCTTCATCCGTGACCACGTCTTTGCTCCAGAACCCGGCTGACAGGTTGTTTGTTTCAAACAGAATGCAATGGGATACTGCAGCTGCAACTCACTGGTTTTCACCTTATGGAAATTCGATTGACATGTAAATAAGAAACTTTAAAGTAAATGCGAGTTTTTCAAGGTATTTTCGTATAACCATTTTGCCCGACCTACCGCTTTACTGGGTTTAATAGCAAGATGGCATCATGTGGATATCATCTGTTCTGGCTTATCCAAATGGTGCTTCTCAGATACACGGTTGCACAAACAGGATCTCCTCGGCTCTCTTTTCAGAACAAGATAAGCTATCTGAAAGATTTTTTGACAAGAGACTTCACCAGCTTTTGGTCGTATAAAGATCTTTACTTCAGCCCAAGTTCGATCGGGGCGACTCCGCGACTTATTCAGAGGTCTGTCGCCAACCTAGGTGATGAAGTTCGGCTTAGAAGATTGTTGCTCAATGCCTTGAAGGGGGAAAAGGTCTGGATGCCAATTATAGGAGGATCTATATCTCGTGGTGCACCTTTTGCAGAAAATGGACTAGGCCACCGAATTTACTTTAACGCAGTTGCAAACTGGTGGAATACCATTTTTGAAGATATTACAGGATCCAAGCTTGAGCCTCAAAACATCGCTCTTGGTGGCGTCGGATCGGACTATTTCGCTTATTGTCTCGATCCTCATTTGAACCAACAATTTTCGCCTGAACTTATCATTTGGGAACTCTCAGCCAATGACAAAGGTCGCTATAAAGACAAACCATTCCCTCCTGGCTGTCCTTTCGAGCAATTGACTAGAAACATTTTGCAGCGTTTCTCTAGGCCCGGTTTGCTATTCATCAACTTTTTCAGAGGTGCAGATATCGCTCAAGGCTACTGTAACAACTACGAAGACGAGGGTGGCCTCGATGTGGCTGTTCATTATAACGTTACATCACTGAGCTGGCGAGATTTTATTTGTGATTATATCAAGCAAAACTCGGTCCAGTTTGGAAAAGAAAAAGCCTTTTCTACTGACTGCTTTCACCCTAGTATCTTAGGACACGCTCAGATGGCATTTATCGTCATCAATTACCTACGCAATGCTTTTCTGCGAGCCCTTCGAGGCCCCGCGGGACAGGCAACCAATGCAGAAAATCTTTCCAGAGTACTTAACTTTGAATTTTACAATATTCCTGGAGTTTTGTACCAGGAAACATTAACTGAGAAGCCACTTTGCTTTACATATATGAGACATAACTCGTATGAACCAAATAACACTCTGACAGCGCGAGTTACACGTCAAGACAATTTCAGGTACAATATATACAAGCAATTTAAAATCAGGGCAGATAAACTATGCGGCATGAAGACTGATGTAGCTGAACAATTGATTCAATTTGCAATTTACCTGCCTCGCGCTTTCTCGCGTCTTGTTGTCGTTTCACACGCAGATAGTGGTTCTGCGCAGGTTTGGGTGGACAATCAGACTCCAATATGCATTAGCACGGATGACTACCATATGGGGACTTTGATGGAAATTGTCTCCACGAACCTCAAGCCTGGCAAACATGTTATTAATGCCCTTTCGCTTAAAAATGGATTTGTCATAAGTGCTATTGCAGTGATATAGATTATTAATGGTCGACTATTACGATCTGTATAACTTAGTAAGAGTTCCTATTTAATAATATTTTGTATTTCTTGTACATACATGTTTAAACAGCTACCCTCGCACACAAATTCTTAGACTTAAAATCATATGAAAATTACCGCGGAATGGCTGAAGTATAGTTACCAGCCATTGGTGATAATAGTTTGATAATTTGATAATATGTGAAAAGTTGAACACTTCATATTGACTTTATGCATCTGGATGATTTATGATACTGATTGACTGATTGAGTATGATTCGTTTTGATCGGAGTTTGATTCAACCTTTTTCTGTACGCGCCTTTATGGCTTAATGAGAAACATAAATCAAATACTGAATTAATATGATTCATCATCTAAGCTTTCTTTTCTTTGGAGATTCCTTAGTATCCTATTACCTTTATTCGTTTGTGTAAAGTTCACTCAGCATGATTTGCAAATTTTATACCATGATTTTTCAAAGTTACAGTTTAGATCAGGTTGAGCAATAAACCTTTTTATTGTTATTTCAGTTCATATTTCATATCAAGGACAATTAAGGTAATAAGACAAATATTAATGATTAAAATAAATTACATTTTCAACAAAATAGTTCTTAAGTTTTCGCTCGATTTAGAATCTGTTGCAGAATTTAGCACAGAAGAAAATATAAGCATATAAATCGATCGTCAACCTATTTACATTAATTCTTATGTCGTTTATAAAAAATTGGTTGTTAGCCACACATTTATCTAAGAACAGTAAAATTATTTTTTGTCATCAAATATAAAAGTCTAAGTATCTAATGCAAAGTTGTCAAATCATTTTCTAACATACTTTGACGTCTTATGATTTTGCTATTTTCTTGTTAGATCGAATGTGTCGCAATTTTGTTGTCGAAATCAAACACAAACAGAAATAACGATTTCAATGCGACTGAAATTTCGTTTTTATGTCGCCCTTGAAGTTCATTTGTTTGTTTTTGCTTACTCTCTCAAGGAGTTTTTTGTTAATCTTAAGAAGCTAGCAACTAACTAACTCTGTGTATTATACCCTTACTAGAGTGTTTTATATTTCATTATATTTCTGCCCACAGACACAGACTAATATCCGTCTACTCACGTAGAGTTACCGATCAACTTTTGCAATCTAACTTCACTGCCCATTGCTTTTATTTGTAAATACATTCTTTTTTCGCTTTTCTGTTTAGAAAAGCAGCTACTTTTCTTCACCGGTTTATTGCTTTTTAAAACCAAAACTGATTGTGTGTGATTTGTTTCAAATACATTCTGCTAATTCTAATTTACACAAATTTGTACACATTTAGTGACCAAACCCCGCCTTTCCCTTTGTTTCCACACATTGGACTTGCTCCGTATGATTTATATTTTTTCAAAATGTCTTGTTCTCCAAAGCATTGTCCTCCGTTTTCCATTGCGAATCCAGGAAATCCTTTCAGTTTTGCGATTCTCGCGCATTTGTACAATGAATTTAATCTTGTTTTGTAGTTCCTATCCAAGGGTGATTTGAATGAACTCTCGAGGCTCGCCAAAACTCTTTTGTCAGTGTCTTTAAAACAGCCCATATCAGCATACTCTAAAACATGAAAAATGAGAGTTGACTTTCTTTTTATTGAAAATAAAAACGTGGCTGGGTAGGGTATGAAGGTAAATTTTATCTTCTGTCATGCACGCTTCAAGATATTCTTTTCTGCTGATAGTCTCAAAAGACCGTTGAAGATCACAAAAATAAAGAAATCATCAAAAAAGAAAACCTAATAATGATAAACATTATGTGCTAACACTTGTTTTTGAATGGAATGTTCAAGTCCATTGTGCCTCTTTTGCAAATGCCTCTTTTTCAGTCTAAGTTCATAATTTGCTTTGTTCAGGCTCACCTACACTAATTTGTTTAAGAACAATGCAAGTGCATCAAATGTTTAACAAATGTTTAAGTATTCCGAAGACCTAACGTCCATCCTAATGTAAGCAGTTGCTGCAAAATTGGCTGTAAAGAAGCTCAAAACTGTAAAAAACCAACAACATTTTCAAAAGTCAAAGTGTTTGAAATAGATATTTGAACAAATATTCATTCGTCTAAGTTTTTTGTTTGCTGGCTCCTAACCTCTAAGTAATGCCCGCTAATTGGAAAGAAAAAAAGCCAAATTGTCTATTTTGTGCAAAAAAACATTGTCCGTTAATTAGAGTGTCCGCTAATTAAGTGTCCGCTTTTTAGAAAGTTTTTTATGAGACTTTGACCAGAAAACGATCGGGGGAAAAAGTTTGTCCGTTAATCAGAGATGTCCGCTTTTTAGAGTGTCCGTTAATTGAAGAGAATACATGTATTATGATTTTTTTTATTTTAAGCATTTTATTTACTAAACGCTACTTACTTATTTCCAGCTTTTTTGCGTTTCCTGAAAAGAAGACAAAATTTCAATGTTTAAAGTTGCAATAGTTCCCAAATCAACAAGTAAAGATATTAACAATGATGATTTTCTATAAAAACTATTAGACTGTTTCATTTCTGGTTTAATTTAAAGTCCTTGTTACTGATGAAAGTTGTTTAACATGCATTGCATTAAATGTGAAGTCGTTTTGAATTTACTTGCCTCCTTTTTTCGTTGGCTTCGTTTTCATCAGCGCTTTGTACAACGAGCTCAATGCTAAAAAAGAAGACAGTGCTCATTTAGGTGCGTATGAAGTTAACCACGAACTATTCTGGCTGCCACATTAAGCTGGTTTATGAGAGGCTTTTGACGCTTTCGTTTGTTTTTCAAATAAATAACCATAATATTAAAAACATATTTACAATTATATGGTATTATTCAGTATAAAAGGAACTAGTCAACCCTGTATTGATTTTTTGACACCACCCAGGGAGGATTGCTGACCTTTTCTTTGGCATCCTTAAATCAGTCTCAGTGTTCCGGAGGTTACGGGAGGAGCATGCTGAGTTTTTGGTGAAGAGGTTACACAAGTAACCTGCTATATTAGGTATTATCTGACCTATATTACTTATTATATACCTTACTATATTACTTATAACCTGCTATATGCTGACCTGCTATATTACTTGAAGTTCTGTCAATACGCCGCGATTCGATGCAGTTAACCGAAGTCCTAAGTTTTTTCACCTTGGGTCCAGCTTAATACTTTCCTTTTATAGCCAGTCTTATTCGTGTGCGTTATTTTCTACCGTTAATTCTCACCTGCTTCTTGAACTGCCTCTGACTTCTTCGGAGATAGTTGCGTTATTCGTTGCACTAACTTTTTGTACGCCTTCGGCGTAACTGTTACGTTGTTTGGCGACTCGGCGCTAAGCTTCGCCAACGTAGCGTTTATCTGTTTGATGATGGTTGCGTTGCTCAGAACTTTGCTTTCAATTGTCTTGCTTGCGTTTGCTGCCGTTGCTGACTTGTCTCTCCTCGTTTTAGAGTTTCCCTGTGCCTTTATCAAATGGTTTACTTCTTCTTCCGCTTTTTTGCTCAGATCTGTCAAAGGCTTTGCTTTTGTTTTCGAAAATGCGAGTTCATTCTCAGGCTCCTTTGGCGTTTCCTTCATATTCGTGGGAACATCGACAAGGCCGAGGTCATCCGATTCTTTCTTCCCCGTGAAAGCTGCAATAGAGCAAATGAAATTGAAATCAAAGTTTGTCTTACTAATCTGTGGTTACCAAAGAGTCTTCTTAAACTTGGTATTTGTTTTGCGTTGCAATAAGGTAAATAATTGTTTCTTATTTTTATAGGCAAATCCGGGATAAGCATGTCTTTTAAATATCTTTCCAGGTTTGAAAATTCTACACAAAAGCTGGCATAAACGATTAAAATTCTCACCACTTTCTTTTGCTTCCTCCAGCTGAATTTCTTTTGATGCTATCAATGCAGCCAATTTAAGGTTTTTAATCAGCAGCTTCTTGATTGCTTCCTTTCTTCTTCCAGTCGGTGAATTTACACTGTGTGACTTCTTTGACTGTTCTTCTTGCAGTTCTTCAAGTTTCTTCCTCAAAGTTTGCAGTCTCGTTTTCAGTCTTTTGAGCTTCTTCTGATGCTCTTGTTCGTTAACTCGCTGAGCTTGTTTTGCCGTCTTCGATGCTTCTGCTGGCGAGACGGGACTCGAACTGCCTGGTTTGTCGCTTGCGTGCGCATGCACTGTCACACCTGGTTGTATATGCATGGGGTTGATTTGACCCCCTCCCATACCTTGCAACAGTCCTCCCATTCCTCCACCTCCATTCATCATCCCAGACAGACCATCCAGCCCACTGAGGTCTCCTCCCAGCAGAGATGGCATCGACTGCATACCACTTTGGTGACCATGGTAACCCATTGAAGGCATTTCGTCCACGGCTTCAGAAGGCTGTGCATCCATTTCAGACTGTGAAGAGACAGCCTAACGTCAGTTTCTTCTAAGTTCAGATTTGTTTAACGATTATATATGATATACACATGCTCTTCCTAACAAATCTTGTCAAAATCAGTCTTGTTTTTGATAAGCAATAGATGTCAATCTGTAAAAACGCTTTAGCAACGATAGGTGCTCATAACATTTGCTTTTTGGCATCATATTATCTACACTTAACTTCTGATAACAAAAGTTCATGCAAAATATAGTTCATGAAAAATGCTGTGTATGAAAAATGATGATTATATTTTCGTAATTCAAATATATTAGCCTGCTTACTGCATCGCCATAATTCGGAGACTGGGTTGCTCCAGAATCCACTTTCCCTAAGCCCTCCAACATCTTCTCGAGCTTTTCATCAGTCGTATCCAATTGGCTCAGTTCATTTGATAAGCCGCCGCCTGCAAAAAATCTTTCTTTTAGACATTTTTACTTAATACCAATCCTCGCCTTCATAACCGTTTCTCACGATAAAATCCTGAACGTTTCCCATAAGCTCTAATCTGCTGGAAGAGTATCTACATAGAATATGAATCTTTGCAAAGTCATTAATAAATGTTATGACGATAGTTGGAAAGGCATTTGACGATTATATGCACGCAACTTTAGAAGCTAACAAGTTTGGTGCTTGTTTCTTGTGTTTTGGGTCAAAGGAACATCGCGATTGTCACACGGTGTATTTAATCCAACACACTTAAAGTGCTGTAAAGAAAATTCATCGTCATAATTCTCTTTGCGCATATTATTTCTAGGTTCACTTAGTTTAGCAACCCAATTACAACTGCATTTTCTCATGTTAAGGACGCATTTTTCTTACCTCCAAATTCACCAATTCCTTGCCTGTCTCCTCCAGAAGTCTCCTGTCCATTGATGAGACTTTGCAACAACCCTAGTGATCCATCCGATGTTTCAGTTTCTTGCTTGCCGCCTTTCGATGTGGCCCCAGCATTCGAATTCCCTTGCATATTACCCCCTGCGTTACCAAGTAAACTCGCCAGATCGTTTTTATTCAGCCCTAATAAATCCGTATTTCCGCCAGTGTTTAGTGTGTCTGCAAGGTTAGCGGAATTTTCAATGTTGTTGTTGTTGTTACCCTCATCGAGATTTAATCCGTCCAGCAAGGAATGCCCTTCACTTTTTGCTTTTCCAGTTTCTTCTCCAAGCTTCAAAATTGACATCAAAGATGATTGGTCTTTGTTTCCTCCAAGCAAACTGTCCAATGAACTTTCACTAGTTTTTTCTCCATTGTTTCCTGTTAACCCAAGTGCTTCTAGCAAACTGTTCGAATCGTCTCCTCCTTCTGGTTTTCCACCGCCTCCAAAATTTCCAAGTTGGTCTCCCGTGCCTAATAAACTTTTTATTCCCCCTAAACTATCGAATCCCTCGCTTTCCTTCCCTGCCCCAAGCCCAAGGTCGTCTCCCCTGTCGTCTCCCCCTCCAAGACCGTTGTAAGAAGACAGTGACTGAAATGGATTCAAGTTATTGCCTCCTAACAGAGAACCTAGGGACCCAAGGTCATCACCCCCTTGTCCCAAACTTATGCCTCCTTGATTGTTCTCAGATATATGCATTTGGGCATTGGCATTGTCCTCGGCTCCAAGTTCGCCTCCTAATGATGCATCATTGAGAGCTCTTGAGAAACCTTCCTCTGTTCCACCATTTCCTTCGAAATCAAATGCGTCTCCTAAGTTGACGAATTGCTTTTTTTCCAGTTGTTGATGAGACTCTAAAATCCAGAATAATGCATTCTAAGTAAATATTGTTAAAACAGGACACGATACGTGGCAAAGCTTTGAGTTTGATAAAAAATAAATATAGCTTGAATACTAAAAACCGCTCAATATTTCTTGAAGTAAAATATATATTATTTCATATTTGTAGTGAAACTTAATAGATTTTTTGTAGGTGTATTAAAACATATTATGGATAAAGAATATTTACCTTGAATTACGAGGCTGCAAAAAATGAGCCACAGAAACAGATTCATCTTTCTGCATATCATTTCGCATCAACACACATTTTCCAACGTCTTTTCCACTATCATCCCTAAAAATATTTTTGAATAAGTTCGATGCTTATAGGAGATTTAAAGAATGCAATGTCATTAGGTTGAAATTGAAAATTCTGTCTGTTAAAAATTAAACCAATTACTACTTTAATCTATTAATTTGATACAGCCGAGAAAATGATACTTGATTTTAATATGAAACATTTTTATAAAATTGCATTTGTATTGTTTGCAGCAGTGCCTATTTTGAGTTGTGTTTTTTTGTTTATTTCAACGGTTAATGCAAGGAATAACGTATTTGATCAATTTGCTTATAATGCAAGTTTTTCTGCATATGGCCTTCGTTGAATATCACTTAGTTTAAATATACTCATCTGCTCACCCACATAGCCTATTCTTGACAGACAAGCAAAGGAACAAAATAAGAAATAAATCTGTGTAGCTATTTCCTGGCAATATTTCACTAGATACATTTCCCACTGGTCTTAATAGTGATACTGAGCAGCTTGGGAATGCACTGTAGCAATTCAAGCCAGAAGGTAGCAAGCTTATTTGTAGTAGTCAATCCGATTTCACTGTCTTGTGCACCGTCTTTGCTTGCCAGAGATCAACGGACACGGTGTTACTATTATTTTCATCCGCGTTCATTTTAGTTTATTATAATGGTTATCTCCCATGATCATTAAGTAAACGGGCATGGCATGATAACGAACGAATGCCTTTCGAAAAATCGAAACAAATCTTGTAAAGTACATACCTTGAGCAAGAGAAAATCCCGAAAAGACGAAATAATGTCTTTAAATATTTAAATTTAGCCTTTTCCTTTAGCAGATGCGAAGGATTTCGTTTCAAAATTCTGAAGTTTGCGTCAGTGACCTGTTTGACCCTTGCGCAATGGTCCGTTATCTTGTTTACTGATTCTTCACCGAGCGGGTGGCTGTTCTGTTCGCACTGATTTTCTCTGCACATCGAGGCACAACTTGGCCGCCATTTAAAGCACTCTCTGTATCATTTTCTCTGTGTCATGCCTCTATGGTCGTATTTTTTCAGAACTAGCTGAAATATTCAACCTTTATTTTTCAATACAGATTTCGTTTGTGCACACAATATTTCCCAGAGAATCTTGCAGGCAGTTCTTAATGTATTTCATTTGTGCAGACGCAATCCTGTGTTATAGGGTGTTCAGCTTAGTAACGGATACCCAGTTGCTAAGCAACTGGTATTATCAATGTCCTAAAAAGTTTTTGCTAGTTCTGGACATGTGAATTACCGATGAATATACTGTAATGTAGCTGGAACTGCTGATAATGTAAGATAAAATATGGAACATTCCATCCTTTCATCTGCTGCAGTGGGATTATTGGTGTTTGCATGAGTAATAAGTGACCACAATTTTAATGCCACGGGCAAGGTACTTACCTTGGGTCGAAAGATAGTTAGCTGCTTTTGAATAAAAAGACTGGTGTTTAATTCCCTTGACGGAGTAGCCCCTTCATGGAGTAGCGAAATGCTGGTAAACTTCCAATTTGGTCTACGATAACTTTGAACTACGACCAATGACCTAAGGTTGTATAAAACAAACTCCTTGAACAGGCAAAGAAGCCCCTCTTTTAGAGGTGCTGGTTAACGAACAGGCCACTCAACTGACTGTAAACCTGCAAACATGTTTTTTGTAGTTTTTTTATTTTTAATAAACTATGATATTTGTATTGTTTTTGTTAAACGATAGTTCGTAGAAAGTTATTCATTAGTTATAAGTAATATCGAAAATTCGATGATTAGCTCCACTTTACTTTGCAGGCAAAAAGAAATTTAAAGAATCATCAGTGCGCCACATGAAAAATATCATCAGATTCGAAATGGGTGTTGTTGGGTTTGTAGGAATCGTTTCATTTTTATTTCTAGAAAGAGTTATAGCTGATGAAGGCTTTGTTAATGTCGGCCAAAAACCTATTGAAGTGAAAGGGGCAAAAAATGAATCTGAAATGATATTAGCGATTGTTTCCACGTGGCGTGGACATTCTGATTCCTGGGCAAACTCGTGGCTTCGGTACCACATTGGCATTGGATTCTCTCGGTTTTATTTGTTTTTCGACGACCCTGTGGCGGACAAGGATTTGATCAAGAGTCTGAGCACAGCATCTGAGTACAAGCCTTTCCTCACTATTATCAAAGTCGATAATGCCTATCGGAAACGGTTTTGGACCCCGGACGAGAGTAAAAAGTCCAAAGATCCGGAACAATTACTTTTACCAAGGCTTGGGGTTTATTTAAAAACAGATCACACATCTCGTCAGCAGCTCAATGTTGCCCGCGCGGGCGTGATGGCAAAAGCGGACGGCGTCAACTGGCTTTTGCACATGGATGCGGATGAATTATTTTGGATCGAGCGGCTCAAATCTGGCATAGCGCGGTCGTTTTTCAAACAATTGCATAACCGCAAAATAACACATTTGACGTTGATAAACGACGAAATGATCCCGTTAACACCCGAGTTTGATTTTAAAAATAGGAAGAAGGACCCTTTTCACCAAAGAATGCATTTTAAGAGAAATCTCATGGCATTGAATAAGCCCGAAGAAAATGACCTTGCGCAACATTACGAGAGGTCCAAAGGCGCGGCATTTTTCTTAGGTTATATGTGCGGAAAGGGAGGTATAAATGTTGAATTGTGGAGGCGAATTATGGGAGAGAGTATGCCTATCATGCCACTAGATGTGGTTGCATTCGCACTGAGTTCTTGGCAACCAGGAATGTTACGCTGATAAACAAAGATCCTGGTAAGCCTCAACCGTATATTTCTTCAGAAAATGTGAAAATATTTGTTTCAACTACAGTCGCTCGTGTTCTTCATTACGTTAATCCGTATTTTGCTGCACTGAAAAAGAAGTTTGGCCAGTTAAAAAAGTTCAATAGGTATATTTACGACATCGCCATCGTCCCCGAAAAGCGGAAAAAGGAATTTGAAAAATGGAAAGAATATTGGGCCCCAGCTGAATCCATGCCTAGTGGTGAGTTTTACATGGAGATGTGGTCAAGTGTTCAGAGGACTCTGCAAACGAATAACGACAAGTATGCCCTCGACTTTTATATCCGTGCTGCGATGGCTCCACAAAAGAAAGAGTTGCAAAAGTATTTGAAGAAAGGTGTCATTTACAAAAATAAAGACGCTTATCAGTTCTTGAAGGAACTTGATAAACTGACAAGTAAACAAAGGAAAGATAAGGACGAGTTATTTTTGGAGATTTCAGCCGGTATTAAATTTGTGGATGGAGGCAGTGGCAAAAGAAAGGAGAACAGGACGTATGCTGTTCATGAATGTAAAGAGAAAGGACCTCATTTTTTCTGTGATATCGATGATTGCTGTGGGTTTGTTAGTAAACCTCAATTCACATTTATGAAGCGTCTGCTTGGCTACGTAAGATATGAAAGGATGCAATGGTGGAAGCCTGGCATTCGCTGGCCACAATGAGGCTAGCATAAAACGAGGATGACGAGAAACGAGGCAGACGAGAAACGAGGCTGACGAGAAACGAGGCTTGTGGAAAACGAGGCTTAATGGATATGTGAAATGATTATTAAGACATTATCCTAATTGAAATTGAACTTCTGCTTATGCAATGAAATATCCACTCAAATTTTAATTAATGTTGACAAAAGTTGCAGTCAGTTAAATGTGAATCTAAAATCTGCTTGGTATGGACCGTTGTGAATTGCGAGTTGTGAATTGCGTTAATCATGTATCCCAACATGACATCGGTATAAAGAATTCTCTTTTTTCTAAACACGATTGTCAGGAGCAGATATGCAAAGATGCAACTTTTTAGAAAATCAACACAAGTAAAGTAGAATTCTTATCATTCCACATTGCTTTAAATACTATTTTTGAAAACATTCTCCCTGTAAACAACAAAAAACTTTCGATCTTAGTTGATTATTTCCCATTCGTCCGACGTAAATGATCGATTCTAGAACAGAGCTAAACCGCACCTAACTCAAAAGAGTCGCAACCAACTTACCATATCGTCCAGAAATTCAGCAGCAAATTTTTTTCTCGAAATATTTCTTTCTTATACACATGTTGAGAACAGTCAATATAACCCTCAGGATAATGAACAACCTCTCACGTGACATACCAATGTACTCGGCGAAGGGTCATCCTCAGGTTTCATTTTATTCTTAGTATGAATATATATTTTTGCCTTTATTCTTGTTTTGCAATGTTTTGCTTTTCTAGTTTTAGATTAATATTCACAATTTCATCATACACTTATTTATATCGTAAAATTTCATATTGAGTAGCAAAAAATCCGGTGCCGAAAGTTTCGGTGGATTAATTTTCGATGGAAAAACTTTCAGTCTTCTTTTTAAAATTTCGGTGTAAATTTCGGTGAGAACTAAAAAAATTTCGGTGGAAAGAAAAGGTTTCGAGGAATAAAGAAATGAAGCACTTCTACGTTATTTTTATCTTCAACGTAATATTATCTAGAACGCAGTCATAATGGAACAAAAAACGAATTTTTTAATGGCAGCCTAATGAATGGAACTGAAGGGCAGGCAAGAATGTCAAAATTTCTTATTTAGAGAAGGTCTTTTATATTTCCATATTTATTACCTATGGAGGAAAATTAATTGGAAGCGTTTACTGTTCGCAATATTTTAAAAATTCTAATCGGTTGTGTGCTAAAAATTGCAGCGTCCTACAATTGAAACTGCTGGAGCGTCTCTCAAAAAAATTGAGAGAAATTGTAAACAGCCAGTAGAAGCATCCGCTCAGCTCATAGAAAACTCAAATTTCTTGGATGTAGGGGGCGCCCGGAGGAGTTGGGACTACAATAGGCAGAGGACGGAGGTGCGCCATTTTTTAATATGAAACATACCCTAAAATTTATAAATTTTTCAAAAAACCCTACCCCAAAACCTAGATACAATATGAAATACATATCCTTGAAATTAATTCAAATTTGCAAACATCCAACAACTCAATAAAGTAAAGGAAAACATATTACCTTTCTTCAACAATTATACCCCAAAATTAAGGTCATGTCCATGCTCCAAGAAAATTGTGTTCCAAAAATGGCACATCTCTTACCAGTGTACATGGATATTTATTTCTGGTTGCCCTGCTTCATCGAAAATGAATCCCACCAAAATTTTTGCCACTTAATGTAGACAATTTTTAAAAACTAGTATGTCAAAGCTTTTTACTTTGTTATTTTTCAATATTTTGGATGTACTTGGTGCAATGGTGCAGTATGATACTAATTGCTGATGCTGGCCCAGTGCTCTTAATTTTCAGTCATCCTTACTCATAGAAATGGCCCGAAAACAGCTAGAAAAATTGGGCATCAAACGCTAACATTTTGTTTAGCAAATTGGTGTAAATAAGGTTGTTACTTGAATTGCTGCCTCGAGCGGTTTGCCAATTTTCCATTTCGTTCTGTTTTCTACCAAATTGCTTTTCCAAAATCAATAAAATGTAGTACAGAGAATCTTTGCTTTTTTTTATTTTTGATATTTGATGTTGAAAATAATTTTTTAGTGGCAAAATTTACAAAATGGCTTTGAAGATTGCTAGCATTTAAAAACGTACTATAGCTTTATGGATGACGTCGGATTCAGGGAATCAGTTCAAGAATCCAATATAAAAACAGAAAAATATTTCATTTTGAAGATACTGAAAACTGCATTTGCTTAATACGGTAGTCAACCCGGATTCCTGCCAATTTTTTATCCTGGTCTATTTGAGCAAAGGGAACTCTAGATGACAATTATGCTCGCGAGTTTACGAATTAAACAGCTGCTGGCTAAAAATTTGCTTCTTGCTGTAGACTTAAAATTCAAAACGAACATAATATCCCATTAGATACTGCAAAGTAGAATATTCCAATAATGAAGGATTTTTACCTGATTGCACATGCATCTAAGTTTTTAAGGATCAGTTTTATTCACTAAGTTGGTGCAAGGCTAAGCGTAAACGTGGAAGATGTGGTGCAAATACCCTAAAGCTTGTTTTCCATTAAATCGTAATGCGATCAGAGAGTCTGTGATCGTTGCTGGCCCAAAGTCATTGATATTCAGTTCTATATTTTCACATCTTCAGCTGTTTACATATAAAGCACTGCAAGTGAATTCGCTTAATCTCGAATTCCATGGAGTCTCGATCAGATAGTAGTTGTACAGATGATCTAAATTCATTTTCAAGAACTGTCGTGTTTCAAAAATGTTTTACTTTTTCTTATTATTGTGCACAATTCTTTAAAAAAAATTTGCGCGCTTTAAATGTTTATATCTGTAGGAACTGCTGTTTTCCCAATTTGTTGTTGCGTTCTAGGCATTTGAGTTTAGGCTGTCTGGAAAACATCAGTAAGCATGTTGGCATGTCAACATTTGATAGAATTTTAGGGTACACCCCTTTACGTTTACGGACAAAGTTCTATTAGAATGGATTAAAAAGATCAATGGATGCATCATCAATCGCAGTAATCAGACATCGCCACAGTTGAAGGAAGTAGTAGTTCTAGTGCCAAAGCATCAAACAAGAAAAGTATTGCGGGTTCTCTTGTATAAGGGACATGCACCAGAGCTGTGTGAAAAGTTCAAAAACTGCAAAGAACGCAAGTGCAAAATGCTTTTACTGTTTGAACATGGGACAAAGGCTTGGTATTTATAGAGAAAATGACAGGTGTAAAATCTCAAAAGAAAAATTTTGTGTTTAAACTTGAAGTAGCTCCGCCTGTAGACAATCTGACATTGAGCCAGTACCTGATCAGCAGCCTTTACTGAACCTCAAGGACCGCGGAGGCGGGAGGGCTACGGGGAATTTAGTCCCCAAATTATTTCCAAAATGTACTCAACACCATACAAAAAATTTCCCTGCTCTTGGTTCTCTATCTGTTATATGCCCCGGGGTCCTTGCTGATTCTATCCATCGATAAGAGTGATTGTGAAGGTTTCTCTGCATCAGTGATATGCGTGTCTACGACACAGAAACTCATGTTTATAATAATATAAAGTGTTTGGGGGGGGGGGGAGAACTGGTCTTCTTTCATCCTTAGTGTTATTAAAGACACCGCATGGAGTCATTGGAGGCACTGATACTGAATTTGTTTCTGTGATGTCAGAAAGCTTCTTTGTAGCAGGCGCAGATTCTTCAGAGAAGGATTCCGTGTATTGTTGGGGTAAAGAAAGAGATACCGTTTGTTGAAATCAACTTGAATAAGGTGAGTGATATTTATTTTAATTCAGATTTAGCAACAGAAAGGCAAATTTGCGCTTTATATTCGATACACTTGGATTAGTAAGACAGGTACTTGTTTGTTCTGAGGTATTTTCTCAAGCAATGTGTTATTAAGGTAAAACTGAGTATATGATAAAAATGGTCAAAAATTCTGAAATAAGTAGTGGAATTAGGTAATTCTATATAATTTTCTAATAAGGGACTTGAGTTATTCGCTTCTATGTTTTGGTGATGCTTCTAGTAAAGCACATTCTGCAGCTAGCTACCTACAATCCTGGACAAAAAGCTGACAATTTTCAAGAATGGTTATGTTTCATCTTCCCTTTGAAAAATAACTTTCCCCTCCCCGATTCAATGTTTAATACATGTTTGGAGCTCAAACAATATGACTTCTAATGCAATATTGATTCAGTGGGAACAGGGATTCGAATTCAAATGTAGAAAATTGCATTTTTCTCAACAATTTTGTCCGGAATTGTTAACACCCGTGAGAAACTGAATAATCAGATTGAAACTAATGTAAACTAAGATTCTTGTAGCTTTAATGACCACAGTTATGAAAGATTTTGTTAGACAGGTTGCCGTTGACTAGACAGTATCGATTTGATGGGCGGCCAGCTCTTTTCTGGATCCAGCACCGAGGTAGTCAGGGCTGTTGAGTCACTTTCTAGGTCGAATTGTAAAGTCGTTTGTAGAATCAAGTAAATGAAATTCTACTGTTTTCAGGTAAAACTGAATGGAGACATTGAACTGGAAAAGAAAATCCAGCTGACAATGGACCAAGAAGTACATGGGCTTGTCAATTTATCTGTCGTGAAGGTTGGTCGTGAATGGTCCATCAAGGTAGGTCGCGCGTCTTTTTTCGTTTGATTGTTGCTCATTTTGTTGGTAAAATATGTGAACATTTCTTTGGCTGTAGATCATTTTAACAATAGCTTTGAAGAAAGCAAGCATTTTGCAACATGCTCAAAGCTTTTTCGTCTGACACTTCTCGGAGTATAAAACGTCAGAATAAGGGTCCGAGAGCACAAGATGGAAAACATATACCAATATCGAAATGGGCCAATCAGGAAAAATGCAAGCACGTGATTGATATAGTTTTCCAATCAGTGCTGCGTGCCTATAGAAAAATTACCATTGGATTCCAAGAGAGAAAACAAACTCTTTCTGTCTACACAACGACAGCTTTTTCGTTTGCATGTAGATTGATTCCAAAACTGATAGATAAAAAGACGACCGGGCTCTGACAATCATTTGAAACATGTCGTCATTATAGAGTTTGGTACAAACTGGGTCATCTAAAATATGAAAATGGCTTTGAAAAAAGCAAACATTTAGGTAAACTAAAGCTTTTCGTTTGACACTCTTCAAAGTTTAAAACGCCAGAACATAGATCGAAAACTCTACGCTAGGAAATATATATACCCAGTTGTGGATCAAAATGGGCCTATCAGAAACGCGAGCACATGACTGTTAAGGTTGGCCAATCAGTGCAATCAGTGGATGTTGTAAAATGTTTGCTTCTTTCAAAGGCATTGTTAAAATCTATTTTTGACACTGTTCTCCGAAAACTGCGTTTGACCACATTTCTTCACCTGCTTATCGTTAGGAGCTTTCGTTTTTCTTATGAGCTAATGCTTGCTTCATCTGTTGCTTGAGTAGAATAAGTTTTCAAAACATTTTATAATTTGAATACTTTTACTAGGCCCCAGGGCCGTAAACCCCGTGGGGGGGACGGGGGGGACTGGACCCCCCCCAAAAATCTGGAGCAAAACGATTTTTTTGGAGAAATTAACATCATTTTCCTTGAAAGAAAGAAATCCCTGGTAGCCGGGTTAGAACCAAACTACGTTTTTCTGTGTTATTGCTACAAACCTCAGCCAATAAGGTTAATTTTGTAAGCAGAGTGGTTTTTATAATTTTTACAAGATAAAAACTTACCGTTTTCTACCGTTTTTTACCGTTTTATTTTTGAAAACAAAGTACAAAATAAAAAGAGAGCAATCTGTCATTTTATTTGACCTATTTACTAACTTATTTACGTACATTTCTATTATTTGTCTATTATTTGCTTTTATTCAGTAAATCACTTTTTGTATCATTAGAATGTATTCATTTTTGATGTGTAAACATGGCCTACTGAAAGTACTCAAAATAAGGAAGACGCACATTTCTGTTCAGAAAGTAAATTTCTACCAATCAATACAACAGCGTCCCATATTTCCCCAAAGTCTGTCACTAAGTTTTAAGCATGATTCTTCCCCTCCAAAATTTCACCCAATAAACAATAATCTGTGTTCTTCTGAAAAACGCCGAACTTTCTATCCTGAGCGATTCTAGTATTTTATTAAATTTAGTCTGGGGGATGCCTTTCTAGAAGATAAAATTTCAAAAATTTTCTTCCGCGTCGGACCCAACCATGGTGGGTCCTCCTACGACAGTTAACTTGATTCTTAGCTCCCAAGGTTCATTTTCTTGGGGCCATCTCTGAAAAATGTTATCCACCCAATTATCAACACAAGTCAATGTACTAAGGAATATCTGTAAATACCTTCTATAGAGCAGAAAGTCTTGAGAAATCCAAAAATATTGACTTTTGTTTTTAAAGTACTTTGCCCCTCAACTGTTTCCATAAAACATAACACATACCCTTGTGGTGCCATGACCCACTGCATACTTTATATTCATTCTTTAATATGTCATTCGCTCTTTGCTGACCCCCCCCCCCCCAATTCACATGGCAGATTTACGGCCCTGCTAGGCCCATTTATCTAACTGTTGCACAAGATGATTGTTAGGCGCCTGATGTTCTAACAAGAGGGATACAAAGCGGCATTATCAGAGGCACCGCGATTATTGTTTTCTATAGAAGAATGAAATTATACTAATTAGTTGGTAGTTGCTTGTTGTTAGGATTGAGCAACTTCTGGTGTGACCGAAGGAATCACGTCAGACATAGAGATACTCTGCGGGATCACGTTTATGACGGTAATAAATAATCTGGATTAGAGAAGCAAGGGAACTCTTTTTGACTCACGAATT